GCCCCGCGCGCACGGCGCGCTGGATCTCGCGAGACTCCCGGGGCAGCGGCCACCAGCGGCCGTTGCACACTCACAGCCGGCCCCGCCCTGTGGGCTCGGGTTCAAGCACAACAAACCGAGCAACATTTTGTCCTCTGCTTTTGCTCCCCCGCCCTTCCCATCATTAGAATATGGATAGATTTCAGCTGGATAGCTGAAGCGCTGGGGAAGCTGAAGGAGCCTTGGAGAATAAAATGCTATTTGTAGGCCCTGGGTGACCACGGCTGTGCTCAGCTGCAGGGTGACATGGCTGTGGTCCTGGCAAAGGTGTTGCCTTTTCTGAGCCCTTGGGGAATTTCCGAGAGACCAAACCAACCCCTAACACTCCTAATGGCTGCTTGGAACCACAGCCCCGAACTACGGGAGAGTTCCCAAAATCTCCCTTCTGCCAGAAAAGGGCCATCTGGTGCCATACTTCCCACAGTGATTATGAGTGGGAGATCTGGAGTGGGATGTAGAGCAGAAAAGATTTTGCCATTTAAATAATAGGTCAATGTATCTGCTCTTTACAAGCCAAGTCAGCAGGATTAACGTGCATCTCCACAAGAAGGTGGCAAAGCAGAGCCGGAGCTCAGGCACACGCTCACAAGTGGGCTCTGATGCTGCAGTGGGGTTGGCAGTGCTCATGTTCGCAGCTGGCTGGAAGGGGACCCACCATGGCCATGGAAAGGAAGGACAGGTTCTCTCAGCACATTTAGGCCTGGCTGTCCTGACTGAAGTTCCAGTTCAATCTAGTTCATGTGTGGGTGGTTCCTCCAGATTTAGCCTTTCAGGATTGACTGAAAGTTCACCCTGAGCTCCCGGGGGATGGTGACTTCCGGAGTAAACGTGGGCTGGGCAAAACAATGATCATATTTTTCAGGGATTGTTGTGTTCTGTTTCAATAGCCCCTATCCTCTGAGTAGTAGCATTACTCAAGTATTGGCATGCCCATGATATGCTAGTTGAGATTTATTAGGGATGGCTGCTGTCATTCATGCAGCATTTCAAAATGATGAATCTTATAAATGTGTATGGTGCCGGTGTCCTGCCTCTTTGTCTGTCATAACACAACATTGATTTTCTAGGGAAATACAGGTCAATATGAGATAGAAAACTGCTGTGTGTGTTATTTGGTGTATTTCTGAACAACAGTGACTTTAATAATTCTGCAGGCCTGACCCTTGTTCAGAGTCATCAAAATTTAGTAAGCTGAATATTCGGGGCAAAATCACTCTATTTCTTCTGTGCTAGAAGGACCTTGGAGTGGATGGCAGAGAAGTTAAGCCATTATTAGCCAACACTTTCTGTCCAGCAGCAAGCACAGTTTCATGCAGAGCATTCAGTGTACCAGGCTAAACACAGCTGAACTCTCAGGACTGAGTCATTACTCAACATTTTCTACAGCAAAACACTTAGAAGGAGAAATTGGAAGTGGAGTCAGATGTTTCTTGGATACAATCCTAAATTCTTAGCAAAAATGCCAAAAACCTTTTTTTTTTTTTTTCCCCTGAAAGAAGCTTACATAAAGCACAGATAATATCTCTTTGTTTACAGCTCTACTGGTCTTTTCCAGGTAGCCACAAAGATCCTTAAGTGAGTCTCAGGACCATGCTTTTAATGGTATCATGTCCTTTTTTCCTACTCCTATATGATTTTTACTTCTTTTAGGTCTTTGCACTGTGTGGTTTCACTGAGATCTTTTTTGGAAGGAGCAGGCACATGTGGAAGTTTGTGATAGGAGTCTCCTGTCATTGCAATTCTTTGACTTCCATAAAGAAATTGAATGACTTTACACAACTGACTAAATAGAAGGCAGGATGACAACTTTACAACACAACAAATAAAGGAATAAGGAAATAACTTGATGCAACAGAAAATAATGGACAAAGGAAAACATAAATAGAAACTAACAAAAAATCCCAGAAAATCTCTGTTGAATAATGTGTAACAAAGTACCTAGAAATTGTACCAAGCTGCCTAGAAAACACAGAAATCTATCCCATACTAAAGTTCCAAGAGGATCAGAGTATGATGATAATCCACCTTGGATATAGATATGTGTCATGCTCTGCAGTGATAGTGAGCCTCTGTCCCAAATTCCAGATGCACTGAGGCAGCACTGATGAAAAAATAGAGATTTTGTGCATTTATTGAGAGTGGAAGGAGACACAGAGATTTCTTCCTAATAGTTATGAATTCCCATCTTTCTGAAATGAAACCTCCTAACCTACTTGTGACATGCCATATGCATCACACAAGGGAGGGAGCACTGTGTCTGAAACAACTTCACCTCATCAATGCTGAATAACTGGGCATCCATTCCAGCCCTTGCTCTGCAGGTAACGTGCGTGTGCACACCAACGTGCACATGCCTTTGTTCCTCATGAGCCAGAGCTTGGCACATATCAGTCTGTAATATATTCTTTTAATACCATCCTGGCAGCTTCCCAAAAGGAAGTGACAGGCAGGCCGTAATGGGATTGCACAGTGGGGGAGAATGACCTGTCTTCTACCAAGCAGTGTAAGCAGCGCCCACTTGGCATGTGTGAAGGTGTGCAATGACACAGATCCCAGAGCCCTGCCAGTTTGCCTCACTGTGCAACTCCATGAACTGGCTGGAATGAAATAAGCCTTTCCCTGAAGAACAGAATGCTCAAGAAAACCATGCGATGCACTTGGAAATCCTTTAATGGTATGTACTCCTTATTTAGTTCACTTTGTTCTCTGCACTGGCCCTTTCAGAGTTAACAGACATCAGTGACTTAGAGCTACAAATCTGCTTAGAGGAAGGGAAGGAGGTTAGTGTGGGCAAGAGGACTGCTGATTGAACAGTTTAAATTGCAAATTGTTACACCCAATTCATCTCGCTTCAGAAACCTGAGAGAAATAACTAGTTAAACATAAAATGATGTTTGGTATCCAGGACTTGGTGATGCAGAAATGACAAGGCCACTTTGATTTAGCTGGAGAGAAAATAGGAAAGGTAGTGCCATGTGCAAATTAAACCCTTTGATCCTGACATCAATCTCTTAATTAGGAAGGTGTCGGGAAGAGGCAGTTTCGTTAACACATGTCTGTATGGACAGACCTATTGCTTTGAACAACAGCAGGATTAAATTCACCAGATTTCATCCAATTTTATTTTGTTGCTTTTCTTGGTGCAGCATTCATCATAGAATCACATAATGGTTTGGATTGGAAGGAACCTTAAAGCTTATCCCAGTTCCACCACAGCAGGGGCAATTTCCACTATCCCAGGTTGCTCCAAGCCCTGTCCAACTTGGCCTTGGACACTTCCAGGGATGGGGTAGTTGCAGCTTCTGTGGGCAGCCTGTGCCAGTGTCTTGCTACATACTTAATAAATTTTTGAGCTTTATTACTTAAGATGTGACATCACAGTCTTCCCCATCAGCAATTCGATTAAAGGAAAGTTTACAACAATTAACCAGCATAGACCATGCAACAGGTTACCTCTAATTACCACTACAAATATTCCTGTGCCCTGCACAGTCCCTCAACAAACTCTGTGCAGCACATCACATTGTTCATTCCTGGCAAGTTCTTCTCCTGGCATTCCCCAAAGCCCAAATCTGAGCTGTCTCTGTGCACACACAGGGCCTTCTCTAGAGGCACCTTTAGCCTGCTCATCTCTCATTAGCTGTATATGCTGCACAGAGCATCTTGGCTGCTTCCCCTTGGTATATCAAGTCCCTGCTCCCTCAGCTTTTGTTTTCTACCTCTGGAGTATGTCAGCTGTGGAAATCAATCTCCCTTCTAGTATATATTTCAGCTGTACAATGAGTTGTACTTTTCTTTCAGATGGCCTCAATTTCCCTATGATTCCATCTAGAGTAGTGTCTATAGGACATAAATCCTGTGCTTCTCTCTGAAGTAGCACAGGCACTGTGTCTTGGGCACGAGTGTTAACAACGTAGTTAATTTTAGTATAAGATTCTCTGCCCCCCAAACAGGCACCATTTGGAATTTCAGCAGGTATGTTTTGTTTGCTGAAGGAATATGCATGGCATTTTTTTGTCCAATTATACAAAAACTTTGGGTTTAGATATCTGCCTTAGTAGTATAAAGGTATGTACTTTGATTTCTTTGCCCCATTTGATCTTTACCCAATAAAATCAGTACTTGGAATTTTGTTAATCATATACTGCATATAGACATCTAAAAGCAGTATCAAAAGTAAGTCTGCTAAAGATCTACTTTGAGGCAAAATCTTTGAGTAGGAATGATTTGCACAGTTAGAAACTTGAAGAAAGCTCTCTGTGGCTTTCTGCTTCTCTCCAAAAGTCTCTGAAGCCCAAAGGGCCTACATTTTATTTCTGCACCTGTATATGCTGCTGTAAGACTTAAAACTCAGATAAGGAGGCTGACATTAAAACACAAATATGTGGTGTTGATAAACATGCTACTCCCAACTATTTATTGCCATGCTTGAATACTAGCAGGGGGCCCATTATACTATGCAGCCACACTGAACCTAGGAAACAAGAAAATAAGAATTAGGGTATTAGGTATACTGGCACATGCTCACAATTATTGCACATCTACATTTGCATGTTTAATAGTGGACACAGACTAGTGCACAGTGTTACACACAGGGCTCTGGAGGAAGGTGACAGCTGGGTTATGGTACATGGAAAAAAATCTCATCTTCACTGCTTGGGCTCATCATAAGGGTTGGAATGTGCTTGACTCCTGAGTTCTTGCTTTGGCTGGAGAAACCCCATATCTGCCTCTCTACAGATGTACTACACTTCTGTTTCTTTCCCATACTGGAATTTAGCCCAATTTGTAATAAGGACACAGAGATGGCATATGGAGCCAACAGAAAGAGGAAAGCTCTTGGTAATTCTGTCCTGTTTTGGGAACAGAGAAGTGGACACATAGGGAGTTAACACGCACCTAGATTCTGGAACACAGGGACAGAGTTTGTTGAGAGATAAATTAATGATAGTGAAACCAGGACATTTTGTCCCATTATATGGGTGTGTGAATGAGTTCCAGTTAAATGTGATGAGTTAATTTTGGTCTAAGCTCTAGGTACTGTGAAATACAGACCAGACAGGACACAGACTGACAGACATTTTCTAGCAGAAAAGAGCTATAGAAAACCAAGGGGAGGTTTTGATGAAGAGATGAGGGTCCGATTTTCTTCATACCTAACAGAGTGAGAGACAGTCCTAGGGAAGTCAGTCATTTTGGAGCAGGATAAGACCAGATGCTAAAGGGTTTTCTTCTGGAAGTGCTTCAGAAATCTGATACAGGCCCATTGGAGAGACTGAAGCTTAAGATTCACTCAGGCAAGAATTAGCCTTCATGCTCACTGGAACACCTGACCTGGAAGTGACATATACACTGAACTGGGAGCAAAGTCCTATAATAAATAACTGTGCTTCAGTCATTTCCTCCTTTGTGCAGTGGAGAGCTGGCACTTAATGGCACCAGGGCCAATTTCACCTTCCTTTCCTTTCTTACTCCAATGCTTATGAAAAAGAGGGACCTGAGCTGCAAAAGCCACACAGTGAAGATTTCTTCTGGAGAGGTAAATTCCCATCCTGTGGGGTGTGATTTGGTTTATGGTGCAGCATTACTTAGTCAAGAAAAGGAGCAGAGAGAGCCAGGCTTGGCCAGGAAGTGGCGATGCACCAGGTGCAGGGGGTGGCCACTTATGGCTTCTCTAGGAATAAGAATTTTAAATGCTGGAACTGCATATCCTGGGATTATATGGGATCTCATCCCTACACTTCTGCTCTTGGCTGCTGTCAGACCGGATCTGGACCCAGCTGTCCCTTCGATGTGACACTGTATGGCTGTCTCTGTGCTTGCCTCTGCCACTCCCTCCTTGTTCAGGGTCAACATTTCTACTCTTTTGCCATATTCTGGTTTCTGGTGCAGGTGAAAAAGTGCTTGTCAGTTGTGAATCACTGCCTGTAGCCCATCTTCAGCCTATGTTTGACAACCTGCACCATTCACAGCCACAGGCCATCTCAGTGTTGAAGTTGATATGTAGGTCCTGCCTCTGAGTCCTGAATATGAACATGAGGACTTTGCCATAAGAATAACAGAATATGAGAGACCAGCTGGCAAATAATCCTAATCATGGAATCACTTCCAAAATCCAGCTCTGTAGGACAGAAAGTTGCTTTGAAAATTTTAGTTTCTTGGTTAGGACAGCCTAAACTGTATCATCCCTTATTTAAAGCATTGCTGTAAATTTCTGGCCACTGATATTTTGTCTCTTATGTTCTTGATAGTGAGTTCCTAATTTTATTGTGATTCCTTGTAGTCCCTTATTTTGCTGTTCATGCCTTGATTACAATCCCTCCCATTCCAATCAAGGAAGGTGAACTCTAGACCTCAGTTTCTGTTTGGTGGTGGGTTCAAGCTGGAGGGTCTGAGGAACTCAGCTCAGAAAATATGAATTAAACCTGTGTCTCTGGCATAGCCACTGAACTGCTGGGTCAATGGACTCTATTGTGCATCAAACCACATTGCATTGTGGGGTCTTTTTATTGATGAGCCAGCCTTGAAGTTCAAACTTCACAGTAATTGTGTCTAGCACTTGACTAAGAGAACTACTTGGTATGAAAATGTGCACAGTGAAATCTTTAGGGCTGAATGTAATCTCCAGAGTTATGTGATAGAAGTCATAGCACTACCCCAGTGCTGCAGGTTCTTTGCTTTTTGTAGATGATGTCATTGTTTCTATATTGGATGTATCTTACTATGATCTCTTCTGCTTTAACAAAATTATTTTAAGACATTTTGATGTCATTTTTTTGCAAGGAAACCCTGCTGTCTGTTCTCATCAAAGCCCTTTTCTGACCTTTTCTTTTATTTTCTTGGCATGCAGGTTGCATACAGTGATCTGAAACATAATGGTGGTTTTCAGAAAGGTAAGTTCTACTCTTTGCTCTGACTGAGTAATTAGCTTGAGGCCCAAAGAGGAGAAAATTACCTTACCATCATGGTTCAATCAAAAGAAAGCAGCAATAACCCAGTATCAACAAGGTATAAAATAATTTCAGCCTAGACTAGGGAAGCAGAGGAGTCTTGCCTCACCAGGCCATGCCCTTGTTGAGCAGATGACCTCTGTCACAAGGCGTGGCACTGAAACTACAGCAGTGGAGCTGTTATTGTTGTCCTTGGAAAAAGTGTTGCCTCATTTCCTCTTGTGAGACAGCTGGGTTTGATGACTTGTCCAAAGTCATGTTCTAGATCAGCTGTGGAGCTGGGAGTAGGATTCAGAGGTCTGTAAATGTACTGCCTGCAAGGAGTAAAAACTTAGCCAGTTAAACACTGCTAAAGGAACCAAATCACTAAAAAAGGAAGGCCAAGAAGTGTTTGCCTGTGAGCTACATGCCATCAAGTATTTCACTATACTTGACAATAGCTTTTTTTCTCCCCAGGGTGATCATGTGTGGCTGGACACTCAACCAAACAGTGAATTTAATGTCCCTATTGGGGCAATTGTGAAGGAATCTGACTCAGGACGGATCTTGCTCGAGGATGATGAAGGCAAGGTGGGCTATGTTATAACCTTCTGTAAAAGATGAACATAAAATGTAAAAGTACAAAGTACAAAAGAAGGCCCTATTGGGTCAGAACAAAGCTCCATCTATCCAGGTGGTCTGACTTTGATATAGGTAGGATATACTAAAAAAAAGACTATAGAAATAAGGCTATAGATGGACCAGCATCTCCAGGCCCAATCACTTGGGACATTCAGAGCTTCATAAGATAGAGGTTATATCTATGTGGTTAGGAAAAGGAAATGGATGGGTTCCAATCCCTAAATTTGGTGAAGTTTTAGGTGGAAACATCATCCCAGTAAGTTCATTCCTATCTCATACGATGTTCTGCCTCTGATGACAGAGTTGCCCTCTGAACAGTGTTAAGACTGGTGCTGTTCAGAACCCACCTGAATGGCTTCATTCAGTGTTTTAAACCATCTTGTCCTGGGGAGCAGCAAACCAGTTAATTCCTGTAGGCTAGTCACCTGTGTGTTAGAACATGCTGGCTTGAGCATGTATTATTCTGAAGCTCACTCTAGTCTAACCCAGCTCTCCCTTGCCTCTGAGCCACAGCATCACATATTAAAGTCAGTGCCTTGCCTTTGTCAGGAGCACTGGATCACGGCTCGGAACATGCACATGGTGCGCCTGATGCACCCTTCCTCTGTCCAGGGGGTAGAGGACATGATCCGCCTCGGGGATCTCCACGAAGCTGGCATGGTGCACAACCTCCTCATCCGACACCAGGAGCACAAAATCTATGTGAGTGCCACAGTCACTTCCAGGAACAGCCAGGTCACTTCCAGGTCACTTCCAGGAACAGCCTCTATATTTAGCAAGTGACTTGAGCAGCCTGTGAGCCTTTCACACATGGGGCCCTCTGACTTCTTTAATGACCGAGGGTGCCAAGGAGACACAACGCTGTTTCTCTTCTCTTTCACTTGAGTACTTTGGCTGTGAAGAAGAGAGCTGCCAGCAGCCCCTCAGTCACAGTGCTGTCACAGCTAGTGACCCCACTTACTTTCTCCCAGAGCAATCATTGCCACCAGCCACTGCCAGTGAGCTAAATCCAGCCCATATTACAGCTTAGTGCTGCTATTACCTGCAGGATCAGCCTAACTAGTATGCAGTGATATGATTTCAATTGTACTCCAGCCCAAGCCAACATTTACTTGTTTTTAATAATAAGAAAATGGCTAATGAATAAATCTGGATTTTTTTATCCATTACTGGTTTTATCTGTAACTGGGAAATTTGTTATTTTAATTTTCTTTTTTCCTTAGTTTCCAGTTTGTAATATTATAATTAATATTCAGGTTTTCCATGCTTTGCCTCCCTTATTATATACACTACTGGAGAGAAGCTGCCTCTTACAACATAGGTGTGATGATATTTAGTGTAAAAACTAACTGATTTATAGATCCTACAGTTTTAACTACCAAGGTGTGTGTATAGACCTGTTATATTAAATTCTAGCAGCCTGCAGTTGTTTCATGTAGTTTTCAAACAATATTATTGCCTTGCATCTCCACAGCCTTCAACAGGCTCCTTCATTTCACTGGTGGTGCTGTATAAAAATGGTTCTAAATCACTGTATGAATAGCACAAGTATAACTCGGCCTATTAGCAAAGTCCAGCTACATCTGCACTAGAATACAAAAGCAGCTTAACAAAACACTGCAAAACACCTTACGATAACACCAAAGTGCCAGGTCAAATTGGACATCCATGTACTTCAGCTTGAGACAAAACTGAGCTGTCATTTGGCAAGGAGATTACACCTAGAATTCTTCGTGGGGAAAAACCCTCCTTATCCTGGGATGTTTAACAACAACTCATAGTGAGGAATTGGGCTCTCAGCCTCACCCAGCTGCTGCTATGATCTCCCAAGCTTCCCTCCTGCCTCTGTTTAGATTTATACTGCAAATGGCTTTGGGTGTACTCTTGTTTGCAGGTTTGCTGTAGCAATAAAGCTCACAACTGTTTTCCAGACTTATACAGGATCAATCCTTGTAGCAGTGAATCCATACCAGCTGCTGCCCCTCTACACAGTGGATCAGATCAGACTGTACTGTAACAAGAGGATTGGAGAGCTTCCACCTCATGTCTTTGCCATTGCAGACAACTGTTACTTCAATATGAAGAGGAATAAGAGAGACCAGTGCTGTGTGATCAGGTGAATGGACTCAGAGAGGACAAACAGCAGAAACCAAGTCTGGCATGGTTTGGGGCACCTTGTGGACATAGGAGACCATCTAAATGGAAGGGCACAGATAAAACTAGAGACTACAGGAAGGATTTTTTTTTCCTGCTCCTTAATTTTCAGTTAGGGCTGCAAAAGGTAAAACATAAGCAAAGGATTTCTGAAGTCCATTGTTTTCCTCCAGAATCTTTGAATGTGGTTGTACATTCTGCACGTGGTCACTACATACAGAAACATAACACCTGAGCATGTGTGATACAGGGCTATATTTTACCTTGGAGACAAGATATTTATGTTACATGTAGTTTCTGAGACTAGATACTTCCTCAAGAGAAATAACCTCCACTAACCCAAAAATGGATGGAAGCTTTCTTCATCCTGTAAAGAATCCATTTTCTGTTTGTCATCAATATGAAGAGCCAGAGAGTCTCACTGCAATAGTATCTGAATATAGCCGAGTCAACTTAGTTGATGTACTAACACTAGCATTGACAATCTGGTAATGCAATAAAGAAGAAAAGCAAATGGTCATTTAAATTGCACAGGTATAGAATGTTTTCTATGAATTTGCTTGTTTTTAATTGGTGGGAGAATTTAATTCTCAGCCTAAGTCTGAAAAACAACTTAAATTTGAGCAGATAAGATGATGAAAGACTTGAATTTTCTAGCCCTCTATGAAAGACAGTCTGATCTGCCATTCAAAGGGTTAACTTAGGTTGGGTTGCTTTTTTTTAACTTGTTACCAAAAAAAGAAAGCAAGCCTTTAATGATTTTTTTTCTTACTGCAGTGGAGAATCTGGTGCTGGTAAAACTGAAAGTACAAAGCTAATACTACAGTTTTTGGCAGCTGTCAGTGGCCAACATTCTTGGATAGAGCAGCAAATCCTAGAGGCCAACCCTATTCTGGAAGGTGGGTTACTTATCAAACATGGCTGATTTACCACATTTATCTCAAGATAAAAAAAGTCAAAAACAGATCCTTGAACCATTGTATCTGTTTAACTCCCCTGAAACACTGGTGATGCACTGTAGATGTTCTCTATACTTTCCTTCCATGTTCCCATGCAGTCCACAGCAGTTTTGCTCTCATGCTGTACAAGGAGGTACCACTGTAGTATATACCCTGGAACTGCCAGGAGCACAAGAGTTCTTGGGACTGCAGAGCCCAAGACAAAGCCCCCTGGTTTGGCATTTGCCCTAGACAGTGACAAAGTGACTGGCCAAGCAAAGATGAATCTGTAGGGGAGCTGCCTGAGACACCCATCTTTCTCTGTATAGAGATCAGCATGTTCCCAGTAAATCCTTCTGGAGGTCTTCAGACTTGCCCAGATCTCTTGGCTGGCCAGATATAGACCACATTTGGATCATTTGAATATGCCTTTTAGGACCCAATTATCTGGGTGCACAGTATGCCTGCTTCCTCTCTTCAGGAGGCAGACTGAGACAAGACATTCGCCAGTGCTTCTTGGCACTGTCATTTGGAACACAACATGTAAAATACCAGCAGCAAAGTAGAAGGGGAAAAAAATAGGCTTGATGTTCATGAACTGCAGTAATACAGATACTATCTCTGTCCCTTGCCCATCAGCTTTTGGAAATGCCAAGACAATTCGAAATGACAATTCAAGCCGCTTTGGGAAATACATTGATATTCACTTCAACCAAAATGGTGTGATAGAAGGAGCCCGGATAGAACAGTTTCTCCTGGAGAAGTCCCGGGTTTGCCGGCAGGTGAGGGCACTGGCAGGTGTACATCCTTCCTGTTCTTGTGTTAGAAGCTTATCCTGACATGGCTATCCATTGGCCTATTTCTTTTATTTTTAGGCTCCAGAGGAGAGGAACTATCACATCTTCTACTGCATGCTAATGGGGATGAATACAGAGCAGAAAAAGATGCTGAATCTGGGCACTGCTTCAGAGTACACTTATCTCACTATGGTAATAATCTCTGCTTTATTCTCCATTATCCCTCTGCCATTTGCTTCTCCCAGTGGGCAATTACAATCACTAGGAGCTGCAGATGATAGTTACCAAATATGAACAGTCCTCCCCTTAGAGTACCAGAAGAAGTAACAGCAAAAGTGCTGTAAGCATCAGTTTCAGACATTTACTGTATTGTCCACTAGTGGGAAGCAGCTTCTGGCAGGTCAAAGCTTTCTGTCAAAGTCAGACTTAAGAAACATAAAGAACATCTTAAAACAGAATGTGGACAACATCCCTCATGTTACCAGACACTCAGATGTCAAAGGAATATAGGGGATCTCATGCCAGGGAGAATGGTAATCACATATGTGTATCTTAGAGGAAAATTAATAAGAATCCTAGTCCTTATATCTAATAAATCTTATACACATAATGCAGGCAGCTGGCATTCAGCATAACCTCCCAAGACTGATGCTAATGACCATGTCTGGGTTATGATGTCATTGTGGCAGAAGTGGGATCTTCATAGGTGAGGTTTTTGAAAATAGCTAATTGAGTGGTTTAGGACATGAAAGCCATGATGAAAATCCTGTCCTTTAGCCTATGTATGTACCTCATATTAGATATGCCTGCTGGTTAGATTTGGGCTGTTCTACACAAAGAATGTGTTTAAGTCCTGCCTCTACTCAAATTAGCTGGAGCTGGGCATCTAATTTCTAGGAAATGAAAACAAGTCTGTTTCTGGAGTCACAAAAACAAAACCATTAAAGTTGTGGAGATTTTTTCAAATGTAATGTTTTCAAAATGGCAGTGATCTTGCAGCAAAGCTGATGAGTGTAATTAGTGCAATTGACCTGCTGGCCATTCCATAAAGAGGCCCCTAGGTCAGCAGTAGGGCAGTTTGATACTGAAATAGGAGGATCAGATTAAAGGAGAACATATCCATGGTTTTGTAAAGGTCAGCTGTTGGTACAAGCTGGCATGTTTACAAGCTGGAAACTGAAATGTCTAGGAATATTTCATTTTTGTAATCATCACACTATATTGTCAGAAATGGCAAGGGTAAAAAAGGCATTTCCCCACCTCCATTATGGATGAAAAGAGTTTCTATCAGAAGCAGCATCCTAGGACCTGCTGTGCAGGCTTTGATGAAGGTTCTTTAGATGCTCCCTTGGATGTTTCCATTTGCCTTCCACTAGGACCTAATATTTTTATTTTGAGATCTGCCTTCTAGTACTTATCCAACCCGACTTGCTTTGGTTTGGGATGAGGGCTCTTAATTTTCCATTGACAAGGCAGAGAGAGGAAACCAAAGAAACAGGCATGCCCTTGTAAATGTAGGTAACTTTGTCAAAGCTTCTTGCCCTGTGCTCCAGAGCAGTCTTCCCATCAGCTTTTCCTTTTGGCTTCCCCAGCATTTAGTCTAGCCCTGGAGAAATGCATTATTGAGCCCTCTGTTTATGAGTTCTTTTTGAGAGAAAAGATGAAAGAACATACAATCACAGGAAGAGGATATAGAATATCTAAGTAGGTTTTTGACTTGCATCCTTGTGGGCTCACAGGATAGCCACTCTGTGTACAAAGGCTTGTCAGTCTGCACATACTTTCTCCCTTGTCTGGGTAGCAGGAGGATTTTCCTTACCTGTTGGTGTGGTGCTTGCAGGGTAACTGCACGTCCTGCGACAGCCGGAATGACGCCAAGGATTACGCCCACATCCGCTCGGCTATGAAGATCCTCATGTTCTCAGACTCTGAGCACTGGGACATCAGCAAACTGCTAGCTGCAATCCTGCACCTAGGGAATGTAGAGTTCCAAGGTAAATTCAGCATTGCCTGTGCTTACCTTTCCTCAGACTTGCTGGTTAAGGTATTTCCCTTAGGTGCTTCCTGCTTCCACCTGCACAATTAGGTTGTATTATATTCACCTGTATTAACAGGTGAAGAGAGTTGGAAGGGCAGGCAGATAAGCACCATGAAATTCTGATTTGTGACTCCACTGCCATGTGTTTTGAAAAACAGCATCTTATTATTATTTTGTCACACTGTCAGGTCTCCATAGTTGTAAATAAGCCCTTATCACACAAACTGAAACAACAGAATATAATGCCATGTTACACTTGCTGATTGTTCTACACAGGCCAGAGGGCACAGGAGTGGTGTTTGCCTTAGATAATAGCAAGTCATCCTCCTGCTTAAGTCTGCTGAACACTCACCTGCATAGGTGCACTTCTGGTATTGGACAGGCACAGAGTGACAGTGTGACCCACCAGCATATGCCAGAAGCTTTCACATTTTAGGAAAGAACTCCATGCTTTGTGGTATAGCGGGCCAAATACAGAGATGCCAGGTGGACTATTTGGATTAATGCTGACTAGTATTAGTTAAAATAAATCCCTAAAGTTAGGGATTTCTTTTATTCCTCTCTGTTGTCTAAATTTCCCACAAGCCATATACACAGGAACACATTTTCTGTAATCAAGTGTCACTTTCCCAGATCCCCAAGAGTTGCTGTTTTAAATAAACAACCTTGTTAGTTTGGCTGCTGTTTTTAGCCTGATGTTCTAGACGAGAAAGAGCCCTACAGATCCCAGGATCCAGGTGAAATCAGGACCCTCCTTGGTAAAATCACCAAACCTGTCCATTTCAAATAAGAACTGAGTACCTTGCCACACTCCCAGTGCTATGGGGTAACAGCTACATTACAACAGTGATGGTTCCCCCTGAGACTGGCTGTTTCTTCCTTGCAGCGGCTGTGTATGACAACCTGGACTGCTCTGATGTGATAGACTCACCACACTTCTCCATCGCCACCAAATTGCTCGAGGTAATGGACTCTCATCTTCTCCTGCTAGTTCTTCCCTCTTCTTTGTTCCATGAGCACACTGGTGGAGCAGCTCTCTGGAGTTTATGTAGGGATGAACATTCAACAGGCATGTTCCCCAGTCATGCTGTTGCAGATGTGTCTCCAAGCTGGGAGACCTTTAAATGGGACAGCAAGTTGCCAGTGGATGCTGCTAGACAAGCAGTTTGTCATAGCTCTCCTCCTGATTCAAACTTTGCTGGATCTCCTTTATCCACCTGGAATGACCAGGTTGCCATGGCTGTTTTTCCAGGTGGACTCTACTGAACTGCAGAACAGCCTCACAAACCTCTCCATCATTGTCCGAGGAGAAAGTGTGTCCAGGCCTCTGAATGTGGTTCAAGCTGCCAATGGGAGGGATGCCTTTGTGAAGGTACTGGTGCTCAAAGCTTCCCTATTTAAAGACTGGGATGCTTTCAGAGCTGTCTTCCTTCCTGGATGAGGAGCCTTATGTGATAAACACTGACCCAGAGGGCTCCAGGCCCTTGCAGTTCTCAGGCATAGCTTGACAGCACAATAGCAAGCAGTAAGTTACATCCAAAGTCTCTAATGATGGGCTCTAATTCCTCTCATTTTTTTTCTCAGGGTATATATGGGCGGATTTTCTTGTGGATCGTGAACAAAATCAACTCAGCCATTTTCAACCCAGCTTCTGAGAAGCCTAAAGACAGACATCAATCCATTGGACTGCTGGACATTTTTGGGTTTGAAAACTTCAGCAACAACAGGTAGGAAACTCCAGATGCAATGCAATAGGAAGCTGAAAAGCAGCTGATGTAAAGGGAAAGAATGAAAAAACAAAGAGACACATGCTCTTTCATCATCATCCTGATTCTCAGAAAAGTGGTGAAAATTCCATTACTGGATTTTCCCAATTATGATCATGCAGATTCCATTTTTCTTTGGTCTTGATCATATTTCTGCCTCTTTTTAAGAGGCTCTTTTTAAGCCTTCATTTTAGTGCAGCCATTGTACATGTCTATTCAAAAACCTGAGGAATTTTCTATGAGGAGATGGTTATGGAGCTACTATGGCAGGCAGGTAATATGTGAGGATGTAGTATATCCCTGTACCTCTGCACCAAACTTTCCTGTTCCACAGCATTTCACAATATCTCTTGGGATACATTTGGCATGTAGTACAAAGGAGGCTGTGTTGTGTTTCCCATTTCAGCTCATGCTTACATCCTTTCTCACTGTTCTCCCATAATTTTGGGGTTTTTTTTGTTTTTGTTGTGGTGGGTTTGTTTTTTGTTTGTTTTTGTTTGTTGTTTTGTTTTTTGCTGCTTCATTCCTGCTCCTAAGGGCAGGTCAGCCACGTCCCTGGTCAGCACACCATTGTGCCACTGCATGTCACTGCTGTCTCTTCCACTGGTGTTTCCATTCCCAAAGCAGCATTTCTGTTTGCCCTTCTCTCTGGGAGGGGACAGCAGTCTCTCAGTTGTCAGGGACCATCAGATCTCCACAAACCATCAGCACATACTCCGCAATCTTTTGCAATTCATTTCAAGTGATGCCTTTTGCCTTCAGCCAGATAATATTCCTCGGTGACTTTTGGAACAGAATCTAGGATCTCTATGGTCTGTCTTCTATCTTTTGTGTTTTCTCCCATTATTTTGTGCTGTTCCCAAGATCTGCAGTCCCCATGGGTCCTCACTGTGGTGAGCACCCCAGAGGCACGCAGTGTGCCACAGCAAGTACAGGGTAATGATACTCAGGTGCAGCATAAAGGAGTAAATAACAAAAGAAGTGACAGTGCCAGTGCAAGCAGAGATGTGTCATAAGTCAAGTGATTTTCACAGTTACATGCTCCCCTTTATCTCTAGAGTTTCTTGAAATACATAAAAGATTTTTTCTTGCCTACTGAGCAACATTTAGTCATTAGCTGGCTCATTGCTACTGGTCTTTGCTACAGCAGAAAATGCCTCCCTTGTATTGCTAAGATTGACAACGTGCAGTGATGGCAGTCACCAGCACTGTGGAATATGGCAGTGGTGTATCTGGATATGCATTTAATGCAGAGGCTAAACAAATGGCAGAGAGCAGTGCAGCACTGGCCAAGGATGACCATGTGCTTTCATCTTGTTCTTTCCCAGCTTTGAGCAGCTGTGCATTAACATTGCAAATGAGCACCTTCAGCAGTTCTTCGTGCACCATGTCTTCAAGCTGGAGCAAGAAGAATACCTTGCAGAGCACATTGCCTGGAACAACATTGACTTCAATGATAACCACCAGGCTCTGGAAGTCATTGCACTCAAGCCCATGAATATCATCTCCCTCATTGACGAAGAGAGCAGGTTCCCAAAGGTAAATTTCTGGTTTCACTTGTAATGCCTGGCTTTGTACCCAGCTCACAAGTGACCCTTGGGTTTAGACACACAGAAATGCAAAAGTGGCTTTCAGATACATTAGGAGAGGCAATAACTTCTCCCCTCCAAGAAAACAGATGTTATCTCTAAGCACCGCTTCTGTTTGTTTGCTGAGCACAGTCCAGTGCTGGGGACAGTCTGCTTAACCATCCTTTTTTACCTATATTTGTTTCTAGGGCACAGATGCCACCATGCTTATCAAAATCAATTCCCTCCATGGTAAAAGTAAAGTCTACATCCCACCTAAGAATGTTCATGATACCAAGTTTGGCATCAACCACTTTGCTGGGGTTGTCTTTTATGAATCAAAAGGTGAGCCTATCTCTGCTGGATACAGAGGGTGAAGGGAAGGGCATGGCCTGCCCTGGATATGTGGCTCTCCAGGGTAATGTTGATCTAAGTTGATCAGGAGGTCAGAAGGATTACTCTAAACCAATCTGCAAGTTACTGTAAATTAAGTGGATTTTAGGTAGACAAAGTGGTGCTAGAGCCAGTGGCTGCAGAGGTGACAGGCTAATTTTGTTTCCATCCTACAGATTTCCTGGAGAAAAATCGTGATACACTGAGTGCTAATGTAATGCAAGTGGTCCATTCCTCCAAAAACAAATTCCTGAGAGAGATTTTCCAGGTGGAAACAACCCCACCTAGTCTGGGACGTGGGACCATTCGGCATCTTGGATCTGACCAGGTCTACAAGGTTGGTTTACTGGCACTATCTTGCAGAAACAACTCATTTCTCCTGCCTTCCATAAATCTCTGGCTATTCTTGATTTCTTCTTTGTTTTGCACTGTCTCTGCAAATCCCTATCTCTTTTATTCAAATTATTTCTGCCAAGGAGGCTGCAGGAAGAGTTGGGGTCTGGTGTTTGCTCTAAACAAGTGCAATGTCAGCCCTGTCTCCCAGGTCTGCATCCCTGGACATCTGTGTAGCCATGCCTGCAGGCTGTTTCAGAACCATGAATCATGACGCCTCCTCACAGGTTATCATCAACTGCACATCACTATGTGACAAAGTTCATGATGGGTCATTATCACAGACTCCACTGTGCCTGTTGCGTCTGTGCCTAGTAAAAGTAAGGGTGTGAAGTGCAGTGGAGTAGAAAACAGTGTGGGGCACAATTCAGGTTCTCTGTCCTGCTCTAACTTCCACATTCCTTGATTTCTGAACATTTAGCTATGCAGTGTCACCAGTATGTGAAGGTACTTTGGTTTTGCTTGTTTACATCTTTGAGTTTTCCTGTCAGGATATAGAACAACCAGCATGCTATCCTACCTGTTACCTGTCTATTCCCCTGGCATTGTTTTCTCATCTTGTCCTTTCTTCCTCTGTCTTTGTCCCAGTGTGGCTTTCTGCTGTCCAGAACACCTGGCCATGGACAGGTAAACATCCAGGGGGTGAAGAATGTCAGAAGTGGTATAAGCAGCAACAGATAACTGGCTTAGCATCTCTTAAATGCTATTAATACTTCCAGATTAAATATCAGGTGTATTTACATTGCTCTAATGCTCTAACAAATCTTGTCTCTATAAATAAGGCTATGTTATTGAAAAAAAAAGTACAGCAGCATGTAAAGAAAGGAAATACCAATTGTGGGCTACCCCATGTCAAAAAGGACAGAAATTAGCTGTTGATGTTCAAATAAATGGGACCGCCATTGGGTCCACCACTAAGAAGCAGGCTATAGAAAAGAATAATGAATGATGTGCCAGAAAACACTTTTTTGTCCTGAGGTCTTAGAGATTATTTCCTGACACACCACAACAGAAAAGTCACCATTAACTTAACAACAAATTCAGCTTTAACATTGTTGCATGTGTGAGATCAGGGCATGGGCTTGGGCCTTGTGTGGCCATCCCACTAATGGTACAGCAGAAAGGCCGCTAAGGTCTGAGAGTGAAAATCACTTACAGCTAAAATATGTATATGTTGTTATTATGCCCACTTCAGGTGCTTGCTAACTCTAAAATGCATCAGAGCTGCAATAAGACATTCCCAGGAGCTGTTTTCCAAAGACATGAATGACTGATCACTGGAGGGCAGCCTTGCCCTGTAGCTAAAGCAGAGGGTGGAAATCTGAGTATTCAAAAGGGCACCTTAGACATAAGAACAGCAGGATGAGGTACCCTAAAGATCATGGAAGTGAGGGGAGCCACTGGACTTTAAATTATTTACTTTGAAAAAATTCCAACAACCCCACAATGTACCAAAGCCCCCAAACAAATCAGCCACGTTGTGCTGCAATGATCAGCTGCTTGCCTGTATGTAAAAGGCCGGTGGAGTAATTTTGTTACTTGGAATCTGTACTGTCATCGCTGTAATTTAATGTGTCCATACTGAGATGTAGAAACTTAGGCCTAATGTGATGATTATTTGAAAAAGACAGGTCAAGAGAGGCTGGGGAATTCTGGAGTACCTCATACCTTATACTCCAGTAAAAGTTTGCCTTTTCACTGCTTACTGTAGTATTAATGAGCAAGGTGATCAGTCATTCTAATCCCTAAGGAATGGGCTGTTCAGGATCTTTAGCATTTCTACCTATGATGGCAGCAAAATATCTGGCCTGGAGTTTATTCCTGCTTTGGGAGTGGCTGTTTCTCACCAAGCTTTCAGGCACACTCCCAGGAATCACAGCTTGGCACCCAAGCCTGGCACTAAACACAGCCTTGGCTGGAAGAGAAGGTGCATGTGGACTCCAGTGGGTGGAAGTACTTCTACCACAGCCACTCCTACTGCTAGAACTTAGTGCCCAAGTAGGTGAAAGTACTTAGTGGGGGGTTTCTTTACAAGAATAAACCCAAATTAATAAGGTGCAGATGGCCAGTGTAGCTCCCATGTAGGTAAATAATTTTTTTTCTGGTGGTTGTGTGATCCTATTACATTGTACAAAAATACAAAGGTTTATTAATTGGCCTCTGAGAGTGAACGATGTTGCAGTCAGTATGTGCCTTCTCTTCCCAGGGCTTGGATACCACCAAGAGGCTCTCAACACTGGGAGGACAGTTCAAGCAATCCCTGGAAAAACTAATGAAAATCCTTGAGCAGTGCCAGCCATACTTTGTCCGCTGCATCAAGCCAAATGACTACAAGAAACCACTGGTAATGTTCTAACAATACCAAGTCTTGCCTTTAGTAAAGTTTGTAATGAGAACAGTATCTCAGTTGCTGTGTAACATTTTATAGCTGTACTAGGCTGCATCCAAAAAGAGCTGGAGTACAGGGTATTCCTGCAATAAACATAGGAGGATACAACATTGTTCATTTACAAAAGCATCTCAAAAAAGCACCATAGAGTAATAGATAGCAAAAAAGCACACAGGTGTACTCCTGAGTAGAGGTATTTTCAGTAAAGACAAAACTGAAAAGTCTGTAGCCACTCAACACAGGAACAAACAAAAACCAACAATGATGATACTATGATACAGCCTGAGAGAGAACAGGAGAGCTGTTGGAGTTTGTGAGAGGGGTGATTTGGCTTAATCTGTCACACCAGGAGGAGTCAGTTTGTTATTAGGATGCATGTCTGGAACTCAGGGGATTTCAACCTGGTTCTACTCCAAAACCTTGAATGGTGTCCTTGTCTGCTTTCCCTTTCAGTTGTTTGATCGGGAGCTATGTATCAAACAGCTGCGATATTCGGGGATGATGGAGACCATTCAGATCAGGAAAGCCGGGTACCCAATTCGCTACAGCTTTGAGGAGTTCTTAGAGAGATACAGATTTCTTCTGCCATGGTCTCTTCGACAACAGGTGTGTAAGCAAAAACGTGGTTTAAGGCTGATCTAACGTTTCCTTACGAGGCTTTAGTCTTTCCCACAGTAGAAAATTCTTGAATTACTGCGGGCAGAGAGAGCTGTCAGCACAGGATATATCATTACAGGAACTGTTATCACAGTAATTATAGCTTAATAGTTAAATACTCCCTTTGACCTTAACTGAAAATACAGAGTTGCTTTGAGGTCCTTGGCTGGCTCCACACAGACATCCCCAGTAGGGTAACACCCCTATTCCCCTCAGATGTTTTGTTCTGTGATTACACATTTCTCAGCTCTCTGATGTCCTCCTCACACCTCGACTCTGGAATGTTTGGTCATGCAATCACGTTCCTCCTCTTCCTGACCATTTGAGCTAAACCACTTTCATTCATTGTACTGTCAGCCCAGAGGTCTGCAAGACCTCATCTGTTTCTGTTCTTCACCCTTTGGAATGCAGGGCAGTAAAGTACATAGTACAGCTGCTGTGTTTCAAAGCCAAGCCCTAACTTCATGATGCTTTTGCACTTCAGCTGAAGAATGATACCCGACAGAGCTGCATCAGCATCTCCGAAGCAGTGCTGGGCAAGGATGAAAGCTGGCAAGTTGGAAGGACTAAGATTTTCCTTAAAGTAAGTAAAAAGGACAGTTTATTGTCTTTTCTTATGAAAAACTGGATGCTTCTCAGTACAGCTTGGCCTGCTTGTGTGAGAGTGGTGACCAAGGAGGAATGAGTTGTCTTACAAACTCTCGAATGTGAGGGTGGATCTTTGTTGTTGAAAGCCAAATAATTCAGTGGAGAGGGTTTGGTGTAGGAGAGGCTGATCCTGTTTCTGTGCTACAGTGTTGCAGCTGAAACAGCACAGTTCAATGTATTGGAGCATAAAAAATAACAGGGTATCAGTGCACTCTTTCAGAGAACCACCTTGCCTGTAGCAGACCCCCAGTTGAAAGCAGTCTTGCTGCAGGCAGATTCTTGCTTGTTTATGGCTATAGCTAGACCAGTTCTGGTCAGGTGATGTGCAGTCTTCCTTCAGCACAGGATACAGATTTCTCCATAATACATTTTAGTCTCATTATGCAACATCATACTGATTTTGGGTCCCTTTCAGATCACATGTCACATTTCCAGAGGTTGTAGGTGTGTCTGCTAAGCTGGCATATTCACACTTTCTTTTAACAGGATCATCATGACACTGTATTGGAGGTGCAACGCCAAAATGTACTCACAGATAAGGTTCTTCTTATCCAGAAGGTGATGAGAGGATTGAAGGACAGGTCAGTGATTTTACAGAAGGGAATTTGCTTTGTTTTTTAGTAGTTAATCTTTGTGGTTCAGCTTAACACACTCTGTGTAGTATTTTTGAGTATGAAATGTATCAGTCTATACCTTCCACCAGTCTTAAATTTCATACTCATCGTAACAATGCACAATGTATCTATCTATGCAGATGTTGGACAAGGATTTGTTTTGGCTCAGTTTTGTTATTTTTGTGATGTTTTTCAAAAGGTTGAACTGTGGTGTGTATGAAAAGGAAGGTTTGAAAGGAGGACATGCTCTTAATATTTTTACTAAACAGTAGACATCTGAAAAGCAGGAAATCCCCATGGAATTTGTGCCTTTCTCAGAGCTACAAAATTTTTCTTATTTAGGATGCTTCTTTGATACAAAACATTGATATGAAAAAGATAGAAACTAACTAGTCCTTCTCTATCATCATTTGCCAAAGATGCCTAATTCTTGCATTGTGTCTAGTTTAGTTTGAAATATCTTCAGAAGTGAAGTTTAGTCACTGTCAAATAAATGTTTGTCCTCGTTAAATGCTTTACATCATGATTTGTATTCATGGATCTTGTGTCACCATGATAAATCAGAGCCATGATAAAGGACTGAGGCTTGGTTTGGCTTAGAAATACTCTTGACCATAGTGAAGGAAGAACTAAAAAATACGACACAAATGCCCCAAAACTTCCCTCTTTTTTTTTAGACTCTGCCTGCTGTCCAAACCAAAAGCCTCACCTTGCTCTTACTTTTAACCCAACAGAGCTATGTGCTGCTTTTTCAGCTGCAGTGTGACAGTTTGTACCATGGGAGGTTCATCTTGCTCAGATGAGCTCCTTGTCCTGCCAGCAAAACACTGTGGAGAAAGAGGTTACTAAATGGGGAAGTTAATTTGTCCAGTCTCGATATTAGGGGTTTTCAGTTCTTACAGAGCACTCTGACCACAGCAGTTAATTTGATCTGTAGCTGCTATGAGTATTTTTGCAGCAACAAGGCTGACATCAGACTATGGACATCCCATTAAGGGGAAAAAAAAAAATCTTATTCTTTACTATTATCATAAGAAGCAGCAGAGATAATCTATTGTTTATCACCTCACATGTCTGTCTGCTTAGGAAGCAGTTCCTGAAACAGAGGAACTCTGCTGTAGCCATTCAGTCAGCCTGGAGAGGCTATTGCTGCCGGAAGGAATTCAGAATGGTAAGATGAAGGTGTACCAATGAATATGTATTTGTGTGTTTATATATCGTTACCTGCCAGACTGAGTGGAGTATTAGGAGTTAAGATATTCTCAACTGAAGGGAGAATAAACAAGATGACAGGGTGTAAAGGAAGGTGTAAAGTCCAAGGAAGGCTCTGGGACCTCTCAGGGCTTGCTGAACCTGTGACATTTCTGCTTTTTGGTGAAATAGGAACCCAACTCACCTTTGGCAGGCCTGGCTCCAAAGATCTGACATATAAGTGGTACCACACTTCTTATAGTCAGAAACACAAACCTAGGCTTTGTGCATCATCACCATGCTATGAGCAAAGTGTCTTCTACAACTGCTGCTGGAAAACCGGGAATTTGTAAAAAATTACCAAAGTCATTATATCAATCTCACATTATTAATTTTTTTTCCAGGGGAAGTTCAGATTCAGATTAGCTATTAAGAAAAAATTTTCACTGAAAGAGTGGTCAGGCACTGGAATAAGTTGCCCAGGGTGGTGGTGGAGTCACCATCTTGGGATGTGTTGAAGAGGTGTCTGAATGTGGCACCTGTGGCTATGGTTTAGGGGTAGTTCTGGTGGTGCTGGATTGGACTACATGATTTTGAAGGTCTCTTCCAACCTTGATGATTCTGTGTGAAAAATATTGGCTGATCTTCTATGGATAGTACATTTTCTGGGTGAGGAAAGCTGGGGGCACTCACAGATTGTGTATTTGTGTGGCAGGTATTATTATTATTATTATTATTATTATTATTATTATTATTATTATTATTATTATTATTATTAATAATAATAATAATAATAATAATAATAATAATAATAATAATGTTGTTGTTGTTGTATCCCATACATCCCATGTGAGATGGGCAGGAGCAGAAACTGCCAGTTTCAGTCAGAAACATTCTATATTCTGCATCAGTGATGCAATTCCTTTCTGATAGTTTGTTCATTTGTTTCCATTCACTTGGCTTCATTTCTGCTCTGTTCCTTCTCTTGTAGTAACCCCAGGCTATCACTGTCACTTTCTGGAGCCGCTCCCTAGAACAGATTCCTCAAATAAATCTATATATTAGTTTTAAAACCCTATTACAGGCAGAAAACAAAGCGTAAAGGGTAATATTACATTAGCCTTTTCCAGTGTCTTTATCCAGTTACCGAATTTCGGTGTCTTCTACTCATCCCAACATGTCTCGATGGTTTGGAACCATAATGACTTCTTTCTGCACCACCCACAGGTGATGCTGGGCTTCGGGCGCCTGCAGGCCCTGTACCGCAGCCGGCAGCTGGCTCAGCGCTACGAGGCCACCCGGGCTCGGATCATCAGGTTCCAGGCCATGTGCCGAGGTTACCTGGTGCGCCAGAAGGTGGCAGAGCAGAAGAAAGCCGCGTGTGTCATACAGGCATATGCCAGGGGCATGTTCGCTCGCCAAACCTACCGGAGGATAAAGGGGGAGGTAATGCTCACAGATACCTTGTGAACACATTGTTTCTATGAAATTCCAATAGAGATTTTATCACCAGAAAGTGTTGTCTTAACATAGGATTGGGTGTGGATATTAATTTTTGGGGTATTTTATTTTTAACTCTTGCCAAGTGCAAAAGCAGAATGTTAAGCAGACTGATCTTGTTTACATTTGCTTTATGTGATTGTTATCATGGATCAAAACTTCACTGGCACAGCTGCAGTGGCTTTGACAGAAGGGAGAAAAGATAAGATCTGTGTGTATCAGGCAGTCCTTCAAGGGGAGACCAATTTCTATAGCAGGGTCTGATAATGGTGCTCAGGGATCCATTCAGAAGGGAATCCCAATGCAGAGTTTCTTGGTAGGTGCTACCAGCCCTTGGCAATCCATAGCACATGAGAGGCCTCTCCCTGATCTCCTTTTTCTACTAATGCTACACAAACAGGACAAAGCCAGTTTGCAGGTTTCTGCCTGTGGCCTGTTCCCTAAAATATCAAATCTCGAACAAAGCCCCTGTTGGGACCAAGTCCTGTGGTGGACAGTTTGTTTAAGGCAGAAGGGAGTTGGCTCAGCAGCTGTACAAACAGTCACAGAATAGTCCTGTTGTCCACAGAATAAGCTGGAAGCCAGGAATATCCACTTGAAAGAAGAGAAACATCTCATCCAAGTCCTGGAACCACTGAAAGCAGGGGAAGAAGCTATAAAATTACAAAAGGTAGGTATGCTGGTGGAGAAACACTGGCCAGCGTTACCCAGCTCACACCTGCAGACTTGCTTAAACCTCTGAGCACTGCTGCATTTAAAGAATTTATTTATTTATGCTGTACTTAGAGAAGACATAGTTGTAACCCTGTTTGTAATGATGCTTTGAAAATATAACAAGGCAAACACATACACATTTCTGATTACAGCCTAAGCTGGCACTTTAGCCAAACATGCCCAATGCTATTACAAGTCTCCTGACACAAAACATATTAAAATTTTAAATATTGTGGGGTTTTCTGCTGTTAGAAATTCTGTGTTTTTCCTGTATTATCTCTTGTTGATTAAATTCTTCAACAATTGCACATCATTATCAATAGGCCAACAGTCCATAAAGACAGCTCTAAGAGCAGGGCCCTGCTGCTGATGTGCCAGGTCTTTGTGATTGCTTGACACAAGCAACATTTGACTTCCTGTTTCAACACTGCACTGGCAGAGCTGGACCTCACAGTCACATACCTTTGTAAAATTATTTCATCTCCATACCCCCTCACTCCAGCAGAATGATGTTCATTCATGATGTTCAAGTCATGCTTATTTCTGTGTTTAAAGGAACTGTCAACTCAGGAGAGAGAGGAGGCAGAAGCAAGACAAAGGAGGAACGTGCTTGCCAATAAACCAACAAACCTTGATGTTATCAGTGACCAAGAAATGGTGGACAAAATTTTTGGGTTTTTACCTTCTGTGATTGGAGGCCAAGAAGGACAGGCTCCTCTGGGTTTTGAGGTACAGAGCTGCAGACTGGTAATGGGTCATGCTTATCCCTTGTGTAAGCCCACTGACTGTTGGAATTCCATCAGTGCTCAGTTCTGTTTAATGAACTTCTGTACAGTGAAAGAATCCCCCGAATTAATCATCCAGTCACTAAGGCATCTCTTGCAGATGTGAGTTCACAAAAGTTTCTAGTCATGTGCAGTTTAGGGACTGTATAGCTTCAAACTGCACATTTGTTTCTTTGGCATAGCCAAACAGTGCCACCCTCTGCATTTTGGCACTGACCTCGTGTTCTGCTGACAGTGCTCTCTATTTTCTGCCTGTAACAAGCTGAAAGTTCATGACCCAAGTTATACCATATTCTTGAAAGCAAAATTTGTGATATACTTGTCCTGATAGCAGTGGAGGTTGGAATTTCGTAGGAGGAGATGGGCAGAATAGAATGGTATGGATAAGTACAGGATGTGAACAGTAACACCTGGATTTTCTATCAGCAATATTCTTGCTGAGGACCAAGACAGGAAGACCATATGGAATGGATGCATCTCAGAAGGACAAGCTCTGAGTCCAAATGACCTGTTGTTAACAGCTCTAAATGGCTTTAGGGTTAGTTGGAAAGGCAAATTCTGGAAGACATATGGCCAAGGGAAAAAAAAGCAAAACCAAACATAAGAACATCAGAGTTCAGTAAAAGAAAATATGCTTCTTTCTTGTGTTCTGCACAGGACTTGGAAACAAAGCCTAACAAGCTGGAGGAAGTGGACCTGGACATGGTTCCCATGAGTTTGGAGCTAGAAGAGGAAGCACATGGTTTGGAAGAGTACACCTTCCCCAAGTTTGCAGCTACTTATTTCCAGGGGTCTTCTACACATACACATATTCGGAGACAGCTGCGGCACCCACTACTCTACCATGATGACAAGGACAACGTCCTGGTATCTTGCTCCTTGTTGTTCATGTTGAACCTGCTCTCTCCACAGCCCTGGCTGTACAGGTCCCCTCATCCTTGGGTCCTGGTTCTGGCACAGCCCTGGGAACCAGAGATGCCAGAGCCAAGGAGATAGAGCTCCAGAGGCCTATAAGCATTTTTTGGCATTTTGCTGGCAGGCACTTCACACAAACACCTGCCCAACACAGGATCTCTGGCCACCTTTGTTCTTGCCCAAAGAGAGTGTTTAGTGGTGTGTTTTGACTTCTCCTGACAATCTTTGGGGTCAGAAATGGACTGGAGAGAAAAAGCATGAGAGCTTATCCATCTCTCTGCTCTTGTTTGGGTTGCTGGTTTATTAGATAGGACAGAAGGGGGAGCCAGGTCTTCAATATCCCATTGAACCAGAGGGGGATTGAGGAGGGTGTTTTCCTTGATTCTAAGCAGCCTGGCAGAATGAAGGACCCTGTGCATCAAGAACTTTGCTGTTACTTGGCTTTCTAGTTCTGGGCATGAAGGGTCTTGGCAGACTCCACTCCACTGCTTATCTGTTCAGGTCAGCAAATGCAGAGCGCAGTTCAGCCAAGGCTTCTCCACCTCCCTCCAGCCACAGAACACCTCCAAGGTGCCAGTAAAGGGAATGGTGAGGGCTCAGCAATCACAGAGTTCTGACCTTCCCACCAGAGCTGTACCCTATTCCTTTAGCAGGAAAGTGTTGTGTGTTGCTGTCTTGTTGTTTGGTATGAAACTAAACTCTTTGTGTAGGTAACTAAAGGAAATGGGAATTTTAACAATTTGGACTGGGTAAAGGAAGAAAATGCTCTTAATCTAAACAGGCAGAAATGGAGCCATTGGTCTGGTTGCCACTGTCTGATTGTGCTTTCTGCTACTACAGGCTTCTCTAGCTGTGTGGGTGATCATCCTGAGGTTCATGGGGGACCTGCCAGAGCCACCAATGTTTGCCAAGAGTGCCACCACCAAGAGCAGCTCCGTGATGACACAGATATATGACACACTTGGCAGGAAAAACCAGGTCCAGTTGAGGACTGACAGCCCAAATATGGTGAGACAAGCAGGCTAGGTTTGTGTTTTCATTTGCTTCCCTTGGTTTCTGTGCTGTTCTACCAAGAGTGAATAAAGCAAAGGAATTCTTTCATGCTACTGTACTTGAAATGCTGCAAGTGCAAAAGGGCACAAGTCAGTCCCAGCAGGACACTCAGCTCCTTCTGGCAGGAGAGAAAAAAACAAAAATACCCTCACTTGAGCATCTTTCTGTCCTTAATGAATCATTCTTGCTGTGTATCAAACTGATTTCCTATAATGGTAATGTGTATTGCAGAGGGAAGGCAGAAGGGATAACAAGATTTCTAAGGGGATTTCATCTCTGAAACTGAAACGGTCATCCAAGCTGACAGGGAAGGTAAGAGGTGGAAATAAATTGCTTCCCTTTCTTCTTGCCTGAAACCCTGACTTCAGCTTCTGACAGATGTTATCTGAGCAACCTCCCAGCTGAGAACTTGTTCCCCTGCCAAGCCAGGGCAGCCCTTTGTGGGATACCTGGGGCAGTGTTCTTTGGAAACGATCCCCATGTGTACTGGTGTCATCTGTTGTCTGGCAGACAACACAGGGAGAAATTTATTACTGAGAATTGTTGGCATTACAGAACAGCTTGCACTGAGCACAGAGGCCTGAGCAGACTGAGAACCATGTGCTTAGGACTGTACAGGACAGTACAAGAAAGTTCTCCTAGCCAGAGATAATGCTGTAACAGCACATTTAATGAGTTACCTTGAGAGAGAAGGGGGCAATATGGCCTGGTTCTCCTGCACTGAGCAGGAAGAGTTTTAGCCAGAAATATAGAGAAGGAATGTCTCATTTATGAGAAAAGCTGCCTGCAAGAGAGATTTCTAGAGCACTCTGGGGTTCTACTCTGTTTCTTTCAGGTGGCAGATCAGCTACGAAATGGAGAAGAAGCTTTCCAAGAGGACGTCTCGATCTCTCAGAGACCTATGTCCAACCTAGAAAAAGTACACTTCATTATTGGCAATGCAATTCTGCGTCCTGCCATCAGGTAGGAAATTTGTACCTCCTTCTCCTAGGGCCAGGTGCCCATTACATCAAGGAAATCCAGCATCCTTTTTCCACAGCCCTGGAGAATGACTCCTTTACTGCCTCTTCTGGTATTTTCATGCTGCACTTTAGGCCAGCTGACTCTATGTATGGCTTTCTGAATATCCCACAGGTATGGAAAGGGGCAGAGCTCAGGGCTGTGACACAATAACACTTGAAGGTGGAGCACTGCCCTAGAATGAGGGAGAAGAGTCACTCAGAGGAGTAAGAAATACGGAGTTAGTGTATATTAGGTGGATGAAAGGATTCCCAATAGCCTCTTTTTGAGCACTCAAACAATGTCCCCACATCAGAGATGGCTGATGGTCTGGATTGCTGAGTGTATCAGACACAAAGGAGAAATCCTGGCCACAAGCAGTCTGAGGCTGGACCTCAGGCCAAGCATGGTGTGACGATAAGGCAGAAGCTCCTTGATTCTGACCTGACCCCATGAATCCTCTCCTTTGTTTTATCCTAAGCACTTTTCTGTAACAAAGCCCACAGATACAGCCTGTGCCCTGACCTCAGTCATGGGCTGCATTCCTTTCTCCACAGTCACTTTGTTTCAGTCAAGACACTCCCTAAAGCAGATGCTCAGCTGGCAAAAATCGCATTCAATCCATATATTATAATAGCCACAGGTGAAGTTCCTGTACTTCAGTGCAGGTACAGTACTTTCAGTTTGTGTTTCATCAAATGTCCTATCAGGGAACAAAAACCTCCAACTTATGTCCTCTCACATCAGATTTGACAAATGTGTGTTCCAAGAGTCTAGAAAAAATTAAGATGATTTTTTAATAACAGTTTTATTTGTATGCAGATTTTTGCATCTGTATCCCTTAGGTCCTTGCTGCAGGTAACTTGCATTTTCAGAAGCTTACTCTGAAGTGCTCCTTCTTCCATTTCTGTACAAGATTCACTCCAAGTTTGTATATAAGTATAAATAAAATATATAAATATGTAAATATGTAAATATATACATATATAGATATAAAATCAAGCAGGGTGTCCCCCCCATCCTTATCCCCAAATCCACCTACAAGCAGACAGACAAGAGCCATGAGCTACAGCCCACATGCTGTAGAGCTCAGAGCAAGTTACACCTCTAGACTCTTGGACAGCAACGCCATTTCACACCTAAATGACTCAGCAGTTGTTTTTCCTGCACAGCCCCCTGCTTCTCACAGAAGTTAATTCAGCATGGGAATTGCACTTGATCTGCTTGAGTAAGAAGGGGTGGCAGAAGGCCCTAAGTGTGCCTGGATCCTTTTCCATAACAAAGCTATTTCCTGTGGTGCATTAGGGTGCTAGCCTAGCTATTGTGATTGAACCTAGCTCAGATCTACTTCATCATGCTGCAATCCTGCCAAGCTTGCAGTCAAAACTTAGCCAAAGACAGTTCAGACAGTGAATTATCTGTTGCTCTCACATGTTTTGTTACAGAGATGAGATTTATTGCCAGATTTGCAAACAACTCACTGAAAACAGCAACAGGAACAGCTATGCTCGTGGCTGGATCCTTCTGTCACTTTGCCTTGGCTGCTTTCCTCCTTCAGACACATTTGTGAAGGTACACTGCTAACCTTTCCTACAGCAGCTCACACGCCTCATACTGAGCTGATATTTTGATCTTTTGATGCTGACAGCCACATAAAATATTTGGCTTCCAGAGCAGCTAGTGCTGTGGTTTCAGCAGAAACTTTCTCATCTCATATGCTTATCTGGGAATTTAAATAAATTCTTGTTCCATTCACATTTAATTTTTTCATTACATCTCATACGGTCTGGATTCTGTAATTCATCACAGCTGTCATTTTAGATCTATAATCTGCAAGGGATCTGGCAAATTTTAACCTCTCCAATTCTGCCTTTCCAGCCAAAGACAACCAAAAGGTGTCTCCAGTTACAATCTTAGTGATTAAATACATTCAGGAGGCCAGTATAAAATCACACCCCCAAGTTTTATCAGTTATTACCCTATATATCTAAACCCAAAAAAGTCCAAAACTAAGTGTCTCAAGCCTCCTTTTTGAAGACATTAATTCCAACCCTAATCTTTAATATTTTCTGGTGAGCTTAAAGCTAATGGATCACTCTAATCTAGTGTATCAGCTGAAGAAGGTTTTTAATGTTTTCTGTGGATTAATGTTTCCTAACTCCTTCTGCTCTGTGCATGTAGTACCTGTTGAACTTCATCCACCATGGGCCCACAGGCTATGCTCCATACTGTGCTGAGCGTCTGAGGCGCACCTACAGCAATGGGGCCCGGACTGAACCTCCCAGCTGGCTGGAACTTCAGGTAGCAACTCCCTTTTGGCTTAATTATATTGATCTGGGACATTTTATACTGTTTTTTGTAAGTATACTACTTACTTTGTAGTTATGCTACATTCACTAACCTATAATAGCAGACATTCCTAAATCAAATCATGGAAATCAATTGCACAAGGGGACTGAAGACCAACCACCTTGGTCTGGGCAGTTCCTTGGATACACCTCTTGTGGCTATTCAGTTACCCTAAATGCAGAAGAGCAGCAGCAGATGATTTGCAGGGAGATACTTCCATCCACTCAGGAACCACAGGCCAGGAACAACCTCCTGAGGAAAACTCTTACTACCACTTTTGGAAAGAACTGAGCAAAGATTATGCTTTTAAAATGAAAGGAAGAAGGGACTACGATGGTACTATATTGCTATATATCTCCACTTCCTTTAAATGTCACCCTAGTAATTAAAAATTACATCCCCTCCCCTTTTAAGTTAAGACCTGAGTTCAATTCCTCCCTAAATTTCAGGGACCCTATTGCTTAACACAAATCTTCCTGGGCACTGTACCTGCTACAGGCCATCTCTCTGCTGATGCATGTAAGGCTGTTCCCAAAAGTCATCAAGACAAATGTGGCTCGTGAAAAGTCTATCAGTCAGCACTGTTATGTGATTATCAGCTCATGTGATTACCAGATTATCCTGAGCTGTGTGGAGGAGAAAACAGAAGTCCAGTGCGGCTCCAGGGATGTAATTTTTATTTATGACTCACTATACTTTGAAGAAACTGTGTGGGTGTTAGAGAGTCACTTAAAGATTGTTGTACAGGTTATACAGGGTGTGGAGCTCCTAAAACTAAATGCCTTCTTCATTCTTCAGCAGAAAGTAAGGTTTGTCCATAATTTTTTCTCTCATTTAATTCTGACTTACAGGCAACAAAGCAGAAGAAACCCATTATGTTTAATGTCACCCTGATGAATGGCCAAAGCATCACTATCCCTGCAGATTCTGCTTCCACTGCCAAAGAGATCTGTCAGTTCATAGCAGATAAAACCAAACTTAAGGATGTCTTTGGATTTTCGCTCTACATTGCTGTGTTTGATAAGGTAAAGTGTAGAAAAATAGAATGAAAGCTCCCTTCTCCTTCTGTAGAGTTGCTGCTGCCCACTCAGCCTCACTGAGGACTCCTGAATTCTGGAACACTCTCAACTCAGTCCTGCACTGAAACCAAATTGGTTCTGAATCCCAGCTGGATCTCAAGACCTGATAATCCTGACTTTCTGTTGGCTCATAACTCAGCAATTCTTGCTACAGCCCTGTAAGGTTTTCTTTGCCACATAGGTGACTGCTAAAAATACATCCACTTACCACATACAGCTTCCATATTCATCTGCTTACCTTTTTGGAGTTTTTCTTGCTGTCAGGAGGTCAGGAGCTTTGTGTTTATTGTCCTTCAGGCAGAGCCAGAGCAGGCATGGCAGTAAATGCAGTGTCCCTTTGCGGCAGGTCTGGTCGCTGGGCGGGGGCCGAGACCACGTCCTGGATGCCATCTCTCAGTGTGAGCAGCTGGTGAAGGAGCGGGGCACACACGAACGCCACGCACCCTGGCGCCTCTACTTCCGCAAGGAAATCTTCACCCCCTGGCACAACTCCCGGGAGGATCCTGTCAGCACTGATCTCATTTACCACCAAGTCATCCGTGGCATTCGATTTGGGGAGTACCGCTGTGAGAAGGTGGGTCTCCTGATTCATCCTCCTAAAGAGACAAAACTGTATCAATGCTTCCCACATGAAAAAGCAGGAATATGAACTGAGTTTGTAGTGAGTGTGAGCAACCCTTCCCTTCTTAATGAACAATTCCTGTCCAGGTGATTGTGCCAGCTGTCACACTGGCAGTTCTAATTAATACTTTCTCCTTCCCCACAACTTTCAGTTCACATGGGAATTTGGAGGCATGTCCAAAGGAGTAGATTGGGTTGTACTTTAAAATATCTTTGCTAATAATCTCTCTAATGTTAAGATTATGTGAAGTTCATCCCTCCTTATGCTGGGTGACTGTTAAGGGTTATACAGACAAAAATTGAGAAAACCGCATTCCTAAATGATTCAAAGGTTGAAAGAGGCTATCTAGCCTTTGTGACATCCTTCTAGGCCTCTTTTTATGGATTAATTGTTTCAGGAAGAAGATTTGGTGGAGATAGGTGCAAAATATTGTTATATCCAATTTGGAGATACCATCCACAATGAACTTGTGCAGAAGGTGCTCCATGACTGTATCCCAGTAAAACAGCTGAAGTCCAAGCCCCTGGAAAAGTGGGTGAGCCTTATAACCTATGCACACGCTAAGGTAAGAGCTTTGTCGGGCACTGTTGGGTAACCACTCTTGAGCACCAGCTCCTGCTTCTTTCACCATTTTCATTTATGTATAGTCTATAGGGGAAGATGGAAAAACAGCTTAGTTTGTAGATCCCAAATAGCTCATTAGGTCTAGGGCAGCAGAAAACCTTTCCATTCACACTTCTGTATGAAGAGCAAGGGGGAAGAATGAAAAAGTACATTTAAATCTCTGAATAGAGTAGCTTTTGAGGTTCTATTTTCCATCTGACAACCAAGTCAGGATGGGCTTGGGATGGAATAGTGGTTTTGATCTAGAAATGGATTACCAGAGTTATTTCTATGGCATCCAAGGTATGTTAGACTCTGAACAGGTCAGTGGGGATTTGAGGGAAATTTGGAATCCAGATGCCTGTGGGCACTCTTAGCTGCATGTGGTTCCCTGGAGACCATTCCTGATTTACTTTCTCCAAGTTCCCTTGATACCAGTAACAGCAGAGGATTGTTGGGATCTCTGGGATTGGGCTTGTTCTTTATTGTCTGCAGATCATGCAAACCAGATTTTACTGAGAAAACCTTGGTTATGTTATTTTCCTGCAGGCCCCATATACACAGGACCATCTCTCCTCTCAGACTGTGAAGGAGCAACTTGTAGATTTTGCTCGCTTTCAGTGGCCTTTGCTTTTTTCCAGATTCTTTGAAGTCACTAAGTTTTCAGGTAATACCTGTAGCCTAGGAGTAGAGGACAGATATAAGATCAATAGGAGAAGACTCATATAGCATTGATAAGGATTTTTTTTCTGTATTTTCAGGACCCAGCTTGCCTAAGAACCACTTCATCATTGCTATAAATTGGAAAGGCATCTGCTTCTTGGATGAGTCAGAAAAGCGGTTCCTTGAGCTGACCTTCCCAGAGATAACTGGCATCCACACCAACAGGTGAGGGCCACAGAAAGACAAGACCTGAAGATGGCATCTCTTCCATACTCTGAAAGGGTGTACCTTCTCTGCCACCTCCTTAGGTGATTTGATCTGTGCCTGGAAAGGTGGTTTAGCCTGGGTCTGGGAAACAGAAAGGGAAAACTGAGCAGCCTGTAAAGGAAATACTGAAAGGACTGGATCCTTCCAGCTGGTGTAAAGTCATCCTGTTCGGTCAGAAAGGTGTAAGAAGCACAGACAGGCATCGAGACAAGAATGGCCCAAATAACTGACACAGTTAAGCCACTGTCTCCTGTGCATGCTGGCAGTTCACACACTTCCCAGGTGTCATGGACCAAACAGGATCACTGAGAAAAGCAGTTGACCACTGCTTGCCCATGGCACACATCCTTCCATCAGGTCACTTGGATAAAAGGGTCTTACATACACAGAAAAGCTCCCTAAGAGGACTGCTGGAGATTTAATTAGTTGTCAAGTTACTCCAAAAGAAGGGTGTTCTTTTGTCTATATTTTGCCTATTTGTACAAAACACGGTGAAGTGCAGAGTAAAGCTGAACCACTTCAGTCCTTCACACCTACCAGCTCACGGGAAGGCAAATTAGGAACTACCAAGATTCACTGTAAGGGAGTTATCTGCAAGGAGGCTGTGTTTACAGATGGGTCTGTAAGTTTTTCAGATGCTCTGGTAACAAATTGTTCAATAATACATAGGGCAGTGAAGTCATTTGGACAGAGTTGCACTCTCATCACCCTTCGTGCCGAGGAGTTTGTTCTGACATCTGTAAACAGTGTTGTCATTGCTGAACTGGTGGTGATGTTCCTGGAAGGACTGAAGAAAAGATCACGATTTGCTGTGGCAATGCATGAGAAAAAATCCCAGGGTAAGTCTCATAACTTTTCTACAGGGTGGGGAAGAAATAATGAAAGAATCCACAGTACTTGTTTGAAGGTGCTCAAAGAGGAGAGGGACAACTTTGCTCCCAGGGGGATGCATCAGCACAGAAATGCCAAGTATAAGGCGTTGGGATTCAGTACCTTTGCACACAAATAACCTTTCCTTCCTCCTTCTCCTCTTTATATATAAATATATTTTATTTAGATAGTATAGCGTCCAGGAGCTCAGTTTGATTATAGTAGAAAGTTGATCTGGGCTCGCTAGGAATACTTCACAGAAGAGTTTCACACAGGCAGTAAATTGGAATTTTCTGTGAAACACAGGTGGCTCAAACAGATATACATGTTTTAAATGTAAACATTAATTGCTTACAGCTACTGAGTCCCTTTCCATGCTTTGCTGCCAGTCTAGACAGAAAGTCAGCATTCATGTGAACCAAATTGAGTTCTGCCATTGCCCTCAGTGGATCAAAGTCAGGTGTCAGAGGAAACAAGTGATTTCTCTGAAGTATTATTGGAAAATTAGCCATATTTATACAAATCACTTTCTACTGCAAACTGAATTCAGGCCTTCAAAATACAATTCCCTTGTCTTTCACATTGCAATCCCTCTGCATTTTCTCAGGCTGTCAAGCCTGAACAGTATCCCCTTATTCTGTTTTCCAGAAGATCCTGGCATCCTGTCCTTCAAGAAGGGAGACTTGCTAATCTTCACCGAAGACAAAAGGCTGGATGCAGATTCTGGCTGGATCTGTGCCCAGAATGAAAGGACAGGCAAAACAGGGAATGTATTTTTGGAAGACATCTACATCATTCCTTCCCTCACAAAACCCTCTAGTCAAGTGCTGGTAAGGAAAGCTAAGCACTCCCTGTGAAAAGACTAGAAAAAGATAAAAATGTTAATATGGTTGAATTTATAACTGGACGATAATTGTCCCTCCAAAGTCAGACAAATCCCATACCTCCCATTGAAACAAAGCATTTAATTCTGTCCTGTCTGAAAACAAAATTTAACCTAGCCTAGGCACTAAGGAGAAGACTGTAACTGCCTAAAAACAATGACTAAAAAAAATCCCCAAAATCCAGTCTATTCACCATGGGAGATTTCAGTGCCTGGAACCAGTAGCAATTAATGGGTATGGGTGTGCAGTTGAATTTTCCTGCTTTCACTCTGGGCTTGAGTGGCGATCACATTATGCCTCAAGAGAACCTCTGAGTGCAGCAGGTTACTTAAAGAGAATATGGTCTTTGAGGGAGCCAGTTTCTCATTAATGCCTCTGCTAATAATTTTGTCTTCAGTTTTGAAGATTCAGTATATTGGATCCTGTGCTAACAGGTAAAAAGCAGAAAAACTGGTGGCAAAACACACTAGAGAGAAGCAGGTGCATGGTAAAGCAAGTGTTGTGTTATGGATAATCATATACATTTTAATGCCCATTACTATTATGTCTATGTAAACTGCATCTTTGAGTCAACTGTTCTCAGGTCTATCCTGAGTCTCTGGAGATACTGTTTTTGAGACAGGAGGTCTCAGGCAGCATAGAGGACTACCTGCACATATATGCTGAGTAACACCTGACAGTGCGTGCAGAGACCTGTCTCCGTGTGACATCTCTATATGGCTGTGCTATTCCAGAGTTTGCTGATGATGTCTCCAGACCAGAGGAGGACAGCTTCCCAAAACTCCTTCATGGAGGAACCTGATGAAGAGGATATCAAGGTGAAGCCTTACACCCTGGAGGAGTTCTCCTACGAACACTTCAGGTGAAGCTCTCTGTGTAGAGTATGCCCTAGAAAAGTTCTTGTTGATCAGTAAACCTTAAAGCTTATTATGTAATGGCATCTCCCACTTCTGATTTGGTTTCTTCTTTTTGTTCCCTGTAACTTTGGATATACAGAGATTCTGGCACATGGCCTATTGTATCTTAAGTCTGCAGAAATGCAAAGGGGAGGGTAGAAGAACCCCAGCTGGACTGACCTCTTCTAGTAGGCCCTATTTTTACTTCCCGCCCCTTCTTCAGCACTTACCAACTAGTGAGGATATACATCTCAGGCTTCAGAAAGTAAGGGGGAAATTAGTTTTCTAAAAACTCCTTTTTGCAAGTCTCCTACCTTTTTGATATACAGGAAACTGTATTTCCCTGCTCTTGTTGACTGACAGAATCAAAGGAGATTTGAGATCATTGCCTTGTGAAAGAATAGGTCTAGAGATATTACGTTGCAATAATGACCACCTTTGTTCATAGCAACACTGATCCAGTAATTTTGTATTGCTTGCACTTGTCTTCATTCAGGACTCCTGAGAAGGAATCCATCAGCAAAGCTGTTCTCCAGAAATCCCGTGGGCACAGTCAACTGTGGGCACATTCTAAGGAGCCTCTGAAACAGCCATTGCTGAAGAGAGCATGCACAGATCCTGATCTTCGGGATTTGGCCTGTCAGGCCTTCATTGATATCCTTTCTCTTCTTTCTTTGGGATCTCAGAACAGTAAGGGGAAGGGAGAGTTAGCTAGGTCCACTAAACGACCTCTATTCAGATACCTCAGACACCTTACAGGGGATACCTCAGACACCTTACAGGGGATACACTGGCATAAAGATGGAGCAGATCAAATCTGTTTTCCTTGTCTACAGAGGAAACATTCCTATTTCCTCCCAGTACAGGTACTATCACAGCCAAGCAGCAACTGCTGCATAGGGGAAGGCAGTAGGGGACAGACAGGGAACATGCTCCAGACCTTCCTCCCAGTATTTGCCACATAGACATCAACAAAGTCACTAACATGTTAGAATCCAGATGAAACTTCCCATTTACCTTCCAAAATTGGCCCGCTTTTCTCCTTAACAGCACATTCACCCATCATGAAATTCATGGGAGACTACCCCTCAAAACAGGCACACTCCTCTGTGGAAGTGACTGACCAGATATTTGTGCCAGCCATCCAGGAGGAGATCCTGCGGGATGAGATCTACTGTCAGATTATGAAGCAACTGACTGAGAACAGAAACAGGTATTTACCTTGGTGCAAACACCCTGCTCCTGCAGAGCCAGGCCTCAACTGCAGCAGGCATTAGGAACTCCTGTTGCATTTGTGATGCAGTGGGGGCAGGGGGAAAGACACAAATGTTGGGGTAACAGCTTCCCTTCTCCCTTTTGCCAGGCAGTGCTGTGGGGCTCACCTTTGTGGAGCTCTCAGGACTATTCCCTGGCAGGGAAAGGCCACAGAGCACCATCAATCATCTCCCCTGAGCTGCTCCTTTGCTCCCATCAGCATTCTGTGCTCATCTCCTTGTGGTGTGAGGCAGGCAAGGTGTCACTGAGGCTCTCCTGCTCCCGAAGCAGTCTACAGGGGAAAAGTGCCACTGCATAGTCCTTGCATCCCTTCAGTGCCTGCCTTGACAACTCTCCATTTAAATTTCCCAATGGCAGCATTCCCCTCTCACACAAACATAGTTCACACTGGATTTTTAGCACCAATTAAGAAATAATTTTGAGTATATATTAATTAGGTTTCATAACTGCCTTGCAGAACACATTGGTTTCAGAGGCACCTGCCCACATAAAAGTCTCTGAAATAGGCTGGTGTTTTCTTCTCCACTCAGAAAACAATAATTTGATCTACTTTCAGGGAAAATGAATTGCATTCTGTTTCTGAATGCATTGTGTTTATTTATTTATTTATTTTCTGACTTACTGTTCCACAAGTATTACATGTAGTGGGACTTTCATGATGTGTGTCAGTGTTGAATGGTAAATTCCCTTACAAAGCAGTGAATCTTACAGGCTATTTCATGCATAGTCTGTAACCATGGTGCCAGTGCCATGCCTGATGTATTCCACCAATTTTGTAACTGTTGTGAGTGGGATCACTGATGTGGAAAGAACAATGCTTGAAAGGTGGCTATTTCCATATACTTTCATTGGAACAGCCAGAGAAACAAATCTTTCATCTTTCCCAGGCTGCTGTGTTGTGGACCATGTCCTGCTCTCACAGAGACACAAAAACCACTCATCTATAGAGTATAAATGGGATTAAAATAGTGTGTCTTCATCTGCAAAATTAGAACAGTACATGGGAATAAAGAAGCCACAACTTCTTTATTCAGTAAAGTCTGATGACCTTTCAGAGCCAGACATGCTGACTTTCCCAACCAAAACCACTTCACACCAGTGAGCATTTCAGAGCAATCCTTGGACACAGCTGAAGTGTGTTCTGCTCCTGGCTTTGAGGCAGAATGACTGACCACGTCATCACTGCAGAACCCTTCTTAAAGGTGAGGGCAAGATGCCAGAAGAGTTTCAGCTGGCAGATTTCACATATGCAGAAGCTGGAAGAACTGGATTTCTGCCTGAAAAAATAGTACTGTCTTGATCTGGAGCATTTAAGAACTGCATCTACCTCACTACATAATGCTATCAACATGTTCATTTTTCAGAACAGAACAGGAGTACGTATAAGGGGAAGCCAGTGTATGTAAAGTGCTCATGCCCTGAGCAAAGCTGGCCAGTGCAGAGGGCAGGTGAATATATCCATTGAGAAACCATGATCTGAATACATGTGAAGGTTCTGTTGGTTTGCAGCTCTCTGCAGAATGGGACCATGATAGGAGTGTATTTCTCTTCCCTGTAGCTGGTGTGTGGTCAAACAGAGAATTGTATGTGGCTGTAGCAGATCTGTTGGCTTTGTGTTCACAGGTACAGTGAGACCAAGGGCTGGCAGCTCCTCTGGCTCTGCACTGGCCTCTTCCCACCCAGCAAGTCACTGCTCAAACATGCCCAGAAGTTCATAGAGACACGTCAGAAAGAAACACTGGCCCCGGGGTGCCGTCGGAGGATTCAGACAGTAATGAGGTAAATAATCTGGCATGTAACCAGCCCAAACTATTCAAATATCAACAATCAGGTCCCAAAACCCACATGGGCTAAAAAATAGTGTGACTGTCACTTTCCTTTTCTCCTTACATCTTGTTTTTTTTAAGTGATTATTTTTCACATTCATTATGGACTCTGAACCATTAAAGAGAGGTCTGTATCAGTTTCACTTTTTTCTTTCACAGAGTTAGCAGCATTTTCAAAAGTTCATCACCACATATAATTACTTGACTCCCAGAGCTGGGTATTTCAAGCATCCTAAAGGGCATGCAGCTTGGAATGATGTTGCTGATGATATCCTGACCTTACTTTTCTTTGGTGAGGCAGCATGTCCTTGTTGAAAGGATCAGTACAATCAATTCCTATTCTTTGAAAAATCCCAAATGAACAGAGCCTTGACTCTTACCTGGCTGCTCGCAGCAAGGCACTTCTCCATCCACTCAGCTGAAGCAACAAGACCCCCAAAACCACAGTGCTTCCTCAACTTCCAAGTGAGTTGTTGTAAAAAGGGACATGACACAACCAGAGAGAGGGGAAGGGCTAACAGGATTTCAGGAACTGCAGAGAAAGGTTTCCCTAGATTCCTCCAAGCACTGGAATAACCCAGCTTGCCCCTCTGAGGACAAAGCTTTGACATCAAGATTGACTCCAGCCTTCTCCCTTTTGATGGTGTTGTGATTTACCACTTGCCTGCCACAGACCTCATCAGTCAAGAATCTGCCTAGTGATTTTTCCTTCCAGCTCCTCCATCTTCCCCTTTCTCTCAGGCTGGGCCACGAGTTTGGCCTGTGAGCCCCACGGGTCAGGCTCTAGGGGAACACTAACACAGTGGATATCCCCCTTGCAGTGGATGGGGTTTGGAACTGCTGGGGAAATGTCATCACACATTGAACTTGCTTTTGAAGTGTCTCTGAAATGCATGGCAAGGAATGCTATTCATCGTTTATTTCTATGGAGAAGACTTAAAAATTCCTGCCTCCCTATATCATGTGCTATTCATGATCTAAGCCCTGTTGAGCCATACAGAGCTTCTTTAGAGAGAGCACATAGGGAGGGGAAAGCAGAATGGGTTGTTTGGAAGGAGAATTTTATCTGCTAAACTGCCCCAGATCTGGAGCCTGGGGATGGGAAGTGAAACAAAGACAAATCTTGTCTTCTAAGAGCAGTTATTTTCCTAAGATTAAACTTGCATCTGTTTAGAATAGAATAGATTAGATTAGTACAGAATTCAGTTGGAAGGGATCTTCAATGATCATCTAGTCCAACTTCTTCCTGTAAGTAACCTGGTCTCTTTGGAAAGGGTAGAGCAGGCAGCTCAAAGGATTGACCTACAGTACATACAGGGGAAGACAACTGAGCCCCTGAGTACACACCTTTTCCTCCACAAACCTCTTTATAGCTTCATCCCCAGAATCCTGGCCAGGGAACCACCCTTATGGGTGTTAAGCAGATCTCACCTTGGCAGTGAACTGCTAGCTCAGACTGCAAGGAGAGGTGGGTAGCCCTATGCCTCTGCAGCCAAACTGCTGCAATTCCTTGAGCTCCCAGGGCCTCCCTCTGATGCCAGTTCAGGAACAGGTGTCAGAGTAGGGCAGGTCCATGCTTTGGACAGAGCCTGCACTGTACAAAGCACATGCAGTTCAGCTTGGTTACAGTAAAGTTTTCCTTCTCCAAATGGAAATGCTCCTTTACTGAATGGAAAAAAATTAGTTTTCAAATCCATAGAATTAAAGCTTGATTTCAGACTAACCTCCTGAGAGAACACCCCAGTGTGAGAGGCCCATAAGGTATGGTGTTCAAAATACATGAACAGCCTGCTCTGTGCCACTGAGGACAGGAACTTACCAGCCCCAGGAGGTAATCTGCTAGATTTGTTTTCACTTTAACTATGTCAAGGTTTTGGCATGACTGAGACTTCAGGGCCAGTTCCTTTGCTTTAAAAGGCAGCTTTGCTCTGAGGTATAATTTCAAAGAAATGGTTTTGCACAGTTTAAGCACCTACTAAGTCAGAGATTGCACTCCAGCTCTTGTATAAAATGCAATACTTTCAGCAGCTCTCCAGACCTTTTCGGTTTGGGCTCTGAGTACTTTTGTATCCAAATACACATCTTTTTGCTGATGCAGGAATTAAGTAAAATGTATTTCTCCTCATAGCCATTACAGTCAGACTTCAGTAAGAAAAAATGCTGCTGAATCAGTAGAAGAGGCAATGGTGCTGGCTAGGAAGGTGCCTTATTCATGCAACCTCCAAGCAGAGCAGACTTTTACTTTACATGCTGGTAAAACCCTCAGTTTCTTGCTGTTAATACACTGAATTTGCACTGGGGTGGAGGTCTATTGGAGCCTGCCCCATCACACAGTACTGGCATTTTGGAGGGTGTCTGCTGTTTGGCTGGAATACTGCTCATTTCTTTAATGATTAAACTGATCACTATGTTATGGGGGTGGTGGCATTTTCCAGGAGCGGCTGCAGGAAGTGGGCACCTCATCCTGTGGAGGTTGAGGCCATCTTACAGAACAACACTAAGATCTCACACAAGATTTGCTTCCCCAATGAAACAGAACAGGTGAGCACTTATTTGTTTTCCCAGCCTTGACCGTATTTCCAGCCATGATGTGCTCATCCAGGAGCATGTATGAAGACATTCAATATTCTTATTTTTTCCTCTCCTCTATGTAACAAGAATCTTGTTATCTCATAGACATTTGATGTGGGAACAAACACCAAAATCCAGACTCTGTGTCAGAACATTGCTTCCAAATTGCAGCTGCAGTCCTGGGAAGGTTTCAGCCTCTTTGTGAAGATTGCAGACAAGGTAACTCCTTGACTCTGGCAGGGTAGCCAGACTGCCCCTCCTCTCTTTTTTATTTAACAGACCACCTAAACAACTGTATAAAACCAAGGACCGGAGCAGGTGATTACTGCTTTTGTCTTACTGAGAGGATACAACCTGAACTTGAACTTTTAGCACCTGAGAGTTATTTTGAGTCTCTTGAAGGGGCTGGATGGAGATGCAGAGTTTCTAACATTCTGCCAATACCCAGGTGGCACTAAAAGCAGAGAAGATTTAGGCTTTCTGGCAGCTGCTAGGATGGTGGCATACTGCTGCATTCAAGCCTTTTTCACTCTGACTTTGTCCAATGTGCTGCACATGTACAGTGTGTGCTAGGATTAGTGAAAGCAGGGGCAACCAGCACCAGTTAATTACTCTCTGGTTTATTGGGAACCTGCCTTGCCTGAGCTGAAGCTTGGGCTAGCTGTCTCGCTGAGAGGTCCCTTCTCTCTGAAACTGTGATCAAGGCAAAAGAGCACTAAGCCCTAATACAGGGAATTTCTGGTGTGCTGCCTTCCTGAAATGAGAAACACAGTATGTAACACTTTACAAAGAGAAAAAGACTGGGAATAAGGTAGGCATCTTCAGCTTGACTTCAGTAAGCAACTTGGAAAGCAAAAATCAACAGAAGATGCAATAAAGTTCCCCATATGAAATATAAGTAAATTGAGCCTTCCTCCTCTTATTTTTCTACTTCTTTCCACTATAATTATGCCCTCTCACTGTAGACAGGGAAATAAAATTCAGCCTGATACTTGAGTATGTGGCACAGGCAGTATTTTATATGATGTGCTAAACCCTCCTTTCTCTCCTTCATTGCTTGGGCTCTGCAGGTGATCAGTCAGAATGAAGCAGACTACTTCTTTGACTCACTAAGGCAAGTGACAGACTGGAACAGAAGGAACAAACCAGGAAAAGATGGTAAGGAGAACGCCAGCATGACAAGAAGTTGCATGAGGTGCTGTGTTGAACAGGAAAGCAGCTGATCCATCCAGTAGGATTCACTCCATCTTGAGAAGCATTTAGCAGTCTTGTGTCATTTCTGTTTGTACATACATGGTTACTGCCTGCACCAGCAGCAAGATCCAGTGATGCAGCCAAGCACTGGTTATCAAAAACATTAGGACATTTCTGGGCTGGGGAGAGGGGGGGAGGGCAGGGGGGATGTCTCTCCAGAAATTTTAAATTGGTAAAAAAGATTTTTTTGACCTGTTGTATCCAAAACACACAGCTGGATACAGGCAAGTTAGATAGGTTGATCCTCAAATACTAAGAATCAGCCAACATGTGCAAATAGGTTCTTTACAGAGTGTCACTCACATTTCTTGGGTTGTTAGAAATTTTTTAACCAGGTTATTACCTGGTGATACCTAAACACAAGTTATGTTGTGAAGGAACCACTTGTTAGAATAAAACAATGTAATACTAATAACAGCAATTCCTTGCACTTACTGTCCCATCCCCTCATCCCCTACAGATAATATACATTTTGAAATCTACATCAAACTCAAACTCCACTCAAATTTCCTATCAGTTTCTCCTGACCTTTGTGTATTTCAGGACTGCTGAGGTTCAACTCCCTGAAGCTCCATGTATCTAAGACTTTCTAACTTCTCTTCCCTCAGCTGATGCAGCTGCTAGGAACTCTGAAAATCACAGTATAAAGATGTGGGTGCACTAAATCACAACTAATTTGTAGAAGCACAGCCATCAGGGGATGTACTTGCATGGGTGTAAGAGAGTTCAGATGTGCTGCACACCAGTAGGCAGCTGTCATGAGCACCAAGAACAAACACTCACAGTTAGTCCCTCAACTTCTCCTCCCTCTGATCATTGCATGAGCAGTGTCCAGGAACTGGAAACTAATAATTTGTTGTCACATAAAATGGCTTTTTGTGTTGTTTTGTTAGTAATTTTGTTTGTTGCTATTTAAACCATAATTACATTTCTGAATGAATTCACAAGCCATTTACAAACTGTAGAACTGTCAGTGACACAGAACACCAACAAGATCTGATCTCCTTAGGGGCTGCTCTGTCTGTGGCGTATGAAGTGTACTTCATGAGAAAACTGTGGCTGAATGTCATTCCTGGCAAGGATCTGAAAGCTGATACTATTTTCCATTACCACCAGGTAAGCAGCTCCCTAAAGCAGAGGTATCTTGTGATCCAAGAAATACTCCTGAGAAACTAAGTCTGTAGGAGTATTACTGGCCTGTATTATACAGGCATTATCCAGGCTCCAGAGGAATGCCTCCTCCAGAGGGGGGAACAGCTCAGCCTCAAAACAGATTTATTTCTCAGTGTTTACACCTTACCTATACTGAACATGTTAAGAATACAGCTCCTTTACCTCATTTTACTGTGGAAATGCTCATCTTGCTCCATAAATCAGAGACTCACAGAAAGTTTCAGGTTGGAAAGGATCTTTAAAGAACATCCACAGAACCTTTAGAAGGAGTCAAAAGTTCTTAGGATGTCCTTGGACTGTATTTGGCAAGACTTGCATCCTGACCTCACAAATTTAAAATGTTAAAGTCAGTGTTTGCTTTAGCCCATTCTGCCTGGATTCAGAGCTGGTCTCTTCCAGGAGCTGCCAAAGTACCTCAGAGGATACCACAAGTGTTCCAAGGATGAAGCTGTGCAGCTGGCAGGGCTGATTTATAAAGCACACTTCAACAACGACCGCACACAGCTGGCAGCCATCCCCAAAATCCTGAAGGAGCTGGTGCCAGACAATCTGCTCCGAGCAGCGTCACCAGACGAATGGAAGAAGGTAAGAACATCAGCTTTCATAAGTCATATTACATACACAGAGCTTTAGTAGAGAAACCACACTACATTTGATCACTACTTGAGCCACACTACATTTTTGATCTGATGGTCTTTGAAAGTACAGTGGAGGGGTAGTATTGAATATTGCTGGATTTGCCAGCAGGATAAAAAGAGGATTTTCCACTTATAATCCAGATTTTACATACTCTACCAAAATTCTGAAAGATATCTGCAGGCCTGGATGGCTTATCTGAAGTGTGCATCTTTCCTGGAGATACTAATCTATTTCCAGTGCCCAGAAAAAGAGTTAGAGATACGAGAGTCAGTAAAGGGACTCGGAAGTTGAGGATATTGGACAGAAATAGAAAATTAGGGTGTCTCAGAAGTATTTCTTGGCAGCAAATAAATCTCCTTGAACCATGTCCATGCTACTTACAGGAAGACTCTTTTTATCCACAAAAAGGGCAAGGAAGTTTCAGCAGGTACTTATCACTTAGTCTGCTGAGGAAAACACAGGACATCCTTTTAAATACTAAGGGAAAATCCACCCTCCATTTTTCAGCCAAAGATGTAATACATGTCTGTGGGTGTTGAACACTGGCTTTCTGAGTTTTATCTCACATTGCCCCTCTGCCCTGAAGTCCACTGCCTCGGGCTGCTGGGCTTCCTTCAGCCAGCAGAGGAATAAGGAACACTGGAGGGTTCTGGCTTTACCTTCCCACATGGCAGAGCGGCTGTTTTGATTTTCAGTATTCTGCTGCTGGGGCAAAAAGCCTGATTGCGGTGATGAGCTGATTCTGTCTTTAGTGCTAAGGCTAGGCATTAGAAACCTGCCTATCCAACTCAACTGCTTTTGTATCCTCTTTTCCTAAACAGAGCATTATTGCAGCATATAGTAAACATGAAGGAAAAACTGTGGATGAGGCCAAGATTGCTTTCTTGAAAATGATACACCGGTGGCCAACATTTGGATCAGCCTTTTTTGAGGTGAAGGTAGGTTTGAAGGCCTGTGTGAGTGGATTTGGTTGTAGATCCAAGGGATACAGACTGACCATAATTCCATATCTGAAAGTAAAAATACATTATAAAGCTGAATTCCTGTAATCTATTGAGGAAAACTCAGTTCCTTCCAATGTTTGAGACGGATTCTTTATCCATTCTGAACTATGCTTGTTTACTGGCAATGTTGTTACTCTAGGTATAATACCTCTACTACAGTTGTGTAGTAGCTGTAGGGGAATAAATTGTCCTGTCATTGCTCTCTACAAGAAAATGCTACCAAATCTCTTTGGTGACTCTTCCCTCAGAACAGAACTGTATTAATCCTCACATCCTGGAGTGGATATCACCCAATAATAACTTCCCACGTGTTACCTTTAATTTCTCCTCACTAGGCTATTAAATAGTTTGCAATTTATGATAATGATAATAATAATAATATTATATAATTATAGATAAAATATAATATTCAATAATAAAAATAGAATATATATTTTGTTATATATAACATATATTATTGTAATATATTATAATAATATAATAGTTAATACTATAATTATATAAATATAATAAGCTAATTATTATTAAGCCTGTTATCAGACAGCATAGTAAATAACAGACCTGATTCTGCTGTCATGTAGCATTTGCTCAAGTCATCTATATATGGCTAAAATGTTTCAGTGTTCATTTGGGAAAGAACAAGAAGTGCTGGACACTGTTGAAGGTCACTAGGTTCCTGATACAGATAATTTCTCAATTTTCTGCTTATCTTGCTGTGTTACTCATTTACAGCAAGCCTCAGAGCCAAATTTCCCAGAGATTGTACTGATTGCAATCAACAAGCAAGGAGTCTCACTGATACATCAGAAGACAAAGGTAACAGCTGCTTCTCACAAATGCATCTAAGGAAGGACCCTACTAATTTGGGAACAGTGATAGGACCTTGGAATGGTAGGAGAGGATAGAGGCTCTCTATTAATTTTCTGAGTGAAACTGAAGAAAATGTTACTGCCTCAAATCAATTCTTTCCATTTTCTACACTGGAAAGGAATAGAATAGAGCATCTCTGAGAAAAGACATGTGAATCATGAAGGTGGTAAGATCAGGAAGATGGGTGGGCAGTGCGCCCAGGAACCTGTTTCAGAAAATTGCTTTGCAGGAAGCCCCAGATGTCTAAAAGACCAGGCTGAATGGCCATATTTAGGTGCAGTCTAACCCCAAGAGTCTGGTCTTACCAAGTTCTCAGGAAAAGGGAGTATCACTATTTGCTTTCAATAATGAAACAAATTAAAAGCTCGTTTTAGATTATTGTAAATCTAGTAACAGTGTGCTAATGCAAAGATCAATATATAATGAAAGAAAGTCTCATTAGTGTGATTAAGAATTACCCATGTGGTGAAAATACAATATTCCACTAATCTGGATGCAAGAACCACCTTAATCCACTATTTTTATAAATGAAGTGGGAAAGAACAAGAATTCTCTGGCTCTGCAGGGTTTCTTATGTAACAGCCTGTTTTCATTTGAGAAATGTTCTATAGATGAGTTTGTTTCCTCTTACAGGATATTTTAACAGTCTACCCCTTCAATAAAATCTCCAACTGGAGCAGTGGGAGCACATATTTTCACATGACAATAGGGAACCTGGTACGAGGAAACCGGCTCTTATGTGAGACCTCTCTGGTAAGAAGAGTTTTGCCATCTTAGACACAACAAAATCCTGATTTTTCTTTTCCAACCAGGATTGCTACAAAAGATGGTGCGAAAACATAAATAGCAGTGCAGATACAAAAAGTATTCACTGCTGTGTCAATAAAATTGACATTTAGAACTGGTTCAGTTTATATATAATGCTATCTGATGCAAAGCTGCATGACACAGGACACAAAGAAAAATAATAATTTCCCAAATTCTTCCAATACATCAAAATTCTTTCTAAGAGGTTAAGACTGCAAAGCTAGTTAAGAGGCTTTTTGTCTTGCATGTCTGCCTCCAGTTATGTAGTAATGCCAGCCTTGTAAGACTTCTTATTTTCCAGGGAGTGGTGCCACCTTTTTAACAATTGGTTTCAGATTATTCACAGTGTCAGAAAAGCATCACTGTATTAATAGTTAAAAGTAGGTTTGTAAAGATAAAAAAAAAAATTAAAGGCTAACTACTCTGACAGCAAAGCTTGGATTCTTAAATACACGAATCTTAAGTACAAGTCAAGCTACAGAGTGAATACCAAGGAGACAGTAGAGCTATGCTCTGTAAAGTTTTGGAAATCTATGAATAGCAGCGGGAGGAATGGATAAGTTATAACTGAAACAGTGACAGATATTAAAAGAAAAGATGTTCATGCAAGGAAGAACCTAAGAAGATTATAAACAAGGGAGGAAACGAGGAATTTTTGCCTCTGGAGCTGAGAGATATGACTTCTTTCTTTCCTGACAGGGTTACAAAATGGATGACCTGTTAACATCCTACGTACGCCTGCTCATGAATGCTGTAAACAAGCAAAAGAACCTCCCAGCCTGAGAGTGGAAATAGAGACTGTGACCTGTACTTGTGCCAAACTACCTGTAATTTCATATCCCAGAAGAAATGCCGTTTAAAAAATATTAATCTTGATGATCAACCTTCTGATCACACACTGAATGAACTGAGCTGCTGAAATACTACTACAGAAGAAGCTCAAGTGAGCATGTCCTTTCAAATATCTGTAACACTTCTGTCTTAGATGTAGTATGAGAATTCCATTCAGATATTGGATTTAGAGAAAGTTTAGATGACTTTAATATTCTGTGGGAGTGGGGAAACCCTGTGAGAGCCCCTTCTAATAGCCCGAATCTCCTCCAAGACAGACACACATTAAGAGCTGTCTTCCTTTTGGAAAGAAAATGCCTCTTTATTGTATGTGCCCTCACCAAAGGCACAAACTCCAAGTCTTTGGAAACAAAGGTAACGTAATTTTTTTCTTCCTCTTGGCAATTCTAAGAGTGGGGAGATGCCCTTTAGTCGTAGATAACTGCACACTTTGAAAGGTAAGATGCTGGGTTTCATCCTCTGGTCCCTAGGTTACATGCTGGACATTACAGTAGACTGTCAGAATGTAACTGCCCTTCCTGCATGCTGCTAAACTTGCAGGCTGTCCCCTGACTTACCAGGGCCTTGCTTAAATGAAATAGTCTTCTTTCTTCCACATGTTATGATGCTCTCATCATTGTTGAAACTAACAACCGCTTTCTACTGCGCAGTTTTAATATGCTCTGAAATGAGTCTAGGGTTTGGAATCATCACTTTTAGTTGGTCCTATTTCAAGATACAGATGAGCTATTCAGTGCAAATCAGAACTGAAGAACTCAGTCTAACAGAGATCTGTTGAAAAGAGACTTTTCTGCTCTACAAAAATGTTCTGTTTGGAGTTATGCAGACATTCCTTCATGAGACAAGAATAATAGCTTTAATTTGTCCTGATCTTTTCTGCTTCCTGTTTAGCAGACAGTTTCAGTGGTAAAATTTGATTCAGCACTTGTTCATCTCTAAGAGCTTTGTAGAAACATAGTTTGGGTGCCACAGGAATCAGAGTGTGCTCTGAGTCTGTAAAGCAGATCTACACTATGGTGGGAGTAAGCTTAGCTGCTTCCCCCTCAGAGTAAGTACTCTTCCCTCACTCCCAGCAAAACATGAACATGTCTTAAAGCATTTACACCAAGTTCCTTGAGACACAATCTGGCAGTGCTGGAAAAGCAGCTCTGCTTGATCTCTCAGTTTTGCCAATAGATGCACAATGGTTCTCTTGTTCCCTCTGACGTGTGTGTGAAATTCAAATGCTGGTGGGAGTTCTGTATATGGGTGGCAGGGAAGAGCCCCACTCTCTTTGTGCCTCCAAACCAGTGCCACACCTGTTAGAATAGCTGATCTTTTTGCAAGCAGTTAGATGCTCCTGCTGTATTGTCCATTGCTGGCAATGGAAACACTGGAGTCTATTTACCCAGAGTGGTTTTGTTGCCCAGTGTCTGATCTAACTAACTAGCTATAAGTGAGAAATGTTCAACACTTCACCTGTACAAAAATAAATTTTACAGCCAAACTGTATTGTTTCTGGTTTTTAAATAAAGACTGCAGAAAATCAACCACAATGTCTTTTTTTAACCAAGAAAAGTGAATGTTTGCTCCAGATCCATGTAAATCTACCAAATATCCACTATATCCTGTAAATGGCCATAGCATCCCATCTGCTCATTACATACACAACAGAATTTGTACAACACAGCCACTAAAAGGGTGATACTTCTTTCTGCAAATCCTCATCAACCAACACATCACCACAGAAGCAGCACAGGTCCAAAATGTGAATTCACCACAACAGTGTCTCAGGTTTCAGCAATCCCAGAGTTCCTCAGAGTGGGTAATAGTCTCTGGCTAAGCACTGGAAAGATGGTATTAACTGTACACTATACAATTTTAATTTCTTTTTTTTTTTTTTTTTGTGTAAAGATTTAAAATGTATTACAGTTAACTTTAATACAAGAACATACAAAGGCACAGTATTACAGCATTTCAATCAACAATCACATGTTTTCATTAGACAGCTCAAACAATGTGTGATAAAATGAGAGCTCTACATGGTGCAGAACCCATCAAGGCCTGAACCAAGGGAGGGAGCTGCTAATTCTTTTCTCACTCTAATACCCTCAGCACTTAACAGTGCTTTACAGGCTAGTAATAACCACAAGTATTACATGCTTGCCTGCAATCTATTCCTTCCCCAGCCAATCACTCATGAAAGAGTGTCAGTCATAGCATCTAATACCAACCATGCCACATCAGGAATTCTCTGTACAAAAGGCTGACCAGTGTTTGCCAGCACTGCACAGACTGCTGTAAAAACACCAGGACGCAAATCCTAGAGAGCAGATTAGTGCAATAAAGAAAGACTGCAAGTGATTAGCATACCCTTTGAATACCAACAAGCTTCACATACCATGCTTTCTAAAAACAAAACCATTTTTTCAAGTGTACTCAGTGAGTGTTAGTGATTTTAATTAGGTATAAATATGACTGTAAACTGTAAGTCTATAGTATGAGACAACATATTTTGTTAAGTGTAGATTTCTGAGCCAAGTTCAACCTCCATATAAATCTCTACTCTCCAGTGATGTGATGCATAGGAAGAATTTAGCCAACAGGTCTATTTACAGCAATGGAAAGAAAGCATGCAGCTTATTTCTTACTGACACCTTGACTGTATTTATTAAAAAGAAACCAAAACTCAACCTGTCAGCCTACCAAGGCACTAAGGAGAACTTGTGAGTTTGCACTATATTCTGCTTGGTTTTTAAAAAGTAGACTGACAGAAATAAGGGAAGATACATTTTTTTAAACCATTTATAGTTATTTCTCCTACTCCTTCAATTCTACTCTCACACAAAAGGTATGTTGGTAATATAAACTACTGTAACTGCACATTGCAGGCTATGGGCAGCAGAAGTAGAAGAAAATCATTGTGAAAAATTAATAATTTAAGAGAATATACCCCCCCCCATCAATATAGAGATGCGAGATTAAAATTATTCTTTTCACCAATTAATTTTGCAAAATGTTCTGAAGAAAAGGACATATTCCAAATCCTAGAGAACTGAACAGCTTATCAAAGGGAATGGTATCAACTCTCCTGTGAACTCTGAAGCTTTCTAGGTCTGCCAGATTTCTAACATGAGACAAGATGAAAGCACACGCTAAATCTTTACTGGCAGCACAGAAGTAATGCCATTCACCTTCACATACATGCATTTTCCATTGCTAAATGTGAGAGTGGCCACTGAAAGAACATTGTATTACCTATTGGCTGCTAGTTAATATATTATATGAATATATTAATATATTAACATATTAATATAATAATCCTTCCGTATTTACCAGGAATGTGTGGCTGTGTGTTCCTCCACTGCTTCCCAGGAGGCTGGGGATACACAGCTGCTCAGATTCAGCATTAGACAAGGCCTGTGACTGAGATTACAGGAGCAGACTGGAATGTTTTATGCTGAGAAGAATCTGCATAACATACTGAGCTGCATCTAGGTCAGAACCTTGAGTGTTTCATGCTGTGACAAAATGCCAAACAGGTTTGATTGTAAATAGGGGTCATTGCAGGGCCACACTACTGCACCACAAGACATGCTGTTCTTTGTGCCCTAAACTAAAAGACCATTTTAAGGCTGGTGAGAGAACAGTGAATAGCCACATGTTCTCCTAAAGCAGTGACAAGCAGCTACTATTACTAGAGTCTACAATGTAAACTGGTCAGGAGAAGATAAAAGAGTTTACTGCTAAAATTAGGCCTATCCCTTCATCGTTGTTAGAGTGGATACACTACAACCCAGTTAAAAGATTATGGTAACTTACAGCAACAAAAAGCAAAGCAGCTGAGGGAAACTGAGTTAGCAAAGACTGTGAATACCTAAGAGATGGTCTCACATGTGGGATTCTGATCAGTTATCCAGGATTTCCCAGCACTTCTTTGGTATCACTGGTGCAGTTCCATGGGTCCAGATCCAGCAAGCATGGTAACACCATTCTAAGGTGGACTATTGCCCCAATCCAATTGCTGCTCACACACAGAAGTGAGGAAGCTTTAACTACTTGCTACCTAGTTCCCCTGTGGCTGTGGGGTGTTGTCTAGGCCCAACAGCTGTGTTAATCTGACCAACTAAACCAAACACTTTTTGGAAGATTTAAATCATGCAGTGTTTTTCAGCCTTGCCAAAGGGCAGGTACAGTCTCACAGCTGTTCATGAAAAGGGATTTTCAGGCTGCTCAGCTTAGGTCAGCACAAGGAAGTACGGTTGTGGTAGCAGAGAGAGTAGGACCAGCGAAACCTCACTGGTGACAGACAAAATTACAAAGGAGGACTATATGCTTGAGATGTTAGCATCATGTCTGAGATCCTCTCCTTAAGTACACTCAGGACTCAAAAAGAAAATGAGCAGGACTCTTATTGGGGTAAAAAATTTAAGAGAAATGTTTTTTTTTTCTGCATACACCACATTTGCTACAAACTGTAAAGATTAGAAACTCCTTCATGTAATTGGGCTTTCTGGGGCATGACCAACAAGCATATACTTGGCTGGCAAATAAATGCTTAAATTGGTACCATATTATTTATTCAATTTCCTTATGCAGAAGAGTAACCAGTGCTCCAGCCACACTGCCTCAATAAATATCAACTATGCCAATGGACAGGACATGCTTTATGTTGAGCAGCAGAAGCTCTACCAGCCATGTAGTAGTAGGGAACAGAGAAAATTAGTGTCAATTCTAATAAAATGTTTAGTTTCCCATAGCCACCTTCTCCTTAAGGAGAGCCCAGCTATTCTGAAGAGGCTCACATGGCCTTGACAGCTGAAATCTCCTTAGTTCTAAGATGGAAGCAGCAAAGGAAACTTCATAGCTGTCTTAACACTGGACCTAAGTGGGCAGTGCAAATGCCATAGCTATTGGTTCCTAGGCTTTTCCAGTAAACCCACAAACCAGAAGGACTGGGATATAGGTTAAGGCATCCATATGCTCTCTGTAGGAATCTGGACAAAGACCAGAACTTTTTGCATATAGTAAAGAATGAAAACTTTCAAACTACTTGCCTATATATTAAAAAACCTAAAAATTGCTTCACACAGAGTAAGAAGAAAAATTCTGATACTCTGACTGAAAAAGAGCAAATCTGACATTTCTTCCAGCCCTACATTTAACCACTTTTTCCAAATTCCTTAGATTAGAGGAGTGGAAAGAGTAGTACAGTTCAATTGAGGAGGTAAAGACTGTTTAAAACTCCACAAAGGCAAAATGCAATGTTAGTAGCAAATTAATAATCAGCCTGTGCACTGCTCAAGCAGAAATCATACTCCTCTTCCTGCCAGTGTTAATAGACAATTGTTTGAGAAAAGGGACAGTCTAGATGCAAAAGACATCACCAGAAGCAGGGGAAGGTGCTACTTATCTTTGGTTCCACCCCTTAGTAATTGCTTCTGTAATCAACAGCTGCAGTGAGCAGCAGCTTGTATTAAGAGTGCAGTCAGAAGACTGACAGACCTGTTTAAGCAGAGTTTAAATCTAAAGCTTTAGGATGGATCTTCTTGGATGCCAGCTCTGACAATTTCTTCAGACGTTTCTTCAGCTCCAGAGGGAATTTCTCATAGCACTTCTTGCACACGGGCTTCATGTCAAACTCCACAAATTTATTCCTTTAACACAAAGAACAGTTATTAAATGGTATTTGCAAACTATGCTTCACTAATTCAAATCTCCATACATCTGCATCAGTGTTGTTGCAAGTGTTCTATTCCATTTATAAAACAACTGATTTCCTCATCTGGTGATGCAAGTACAGAAATTGGGTTCTGATCACTGAACTGAAGTCTTTAGTACTGCTAGGTAAATAAGGAATAAGATTTTGCTAGCTATTTGCATGTAACAGTCTAGAATAATAGTTTTGTTACTGTAGAATGCAAGTGCCACTTTAGAGGTTCCCTTTGGGATGAATTAGAGCTCTTTTATATGGCCAGTGGAGCCAACCCAGCAGAGTAGGATAAGGGTTTAAACCTGAGAAAGGAAAAATGTAAGACTGCTTTTTTTCCTGTCCCTCTTCTAGATATTTGAGGTGAATAACAGTATTTTATTTCAAAATAATTTATGCAATAGCAAATATTGTCATTGAGGGGAGCAACCACAGTTAAGGAGACATGGAGGCTGTGGGTTGTTCAGGACAGGCAGTTCCTCAAAGTTTAGGGCCTTCCCTCTGTGCTGATGAATGAGTCCCCCTCTTACCCAACCTCCTTACAGAATAGATGAAGGAAAATAAATCAGAGAGGATGCTGAGTTTCAGCTCTCTTTCAGTGCTGAAATCAGGAATTATAAACACCTGCTGCCACAGAGAAAAGGTGTATTTGCCTTCAGAAAGGCAGTGGCTCATGGCTCCTCCAGGCTGATACCCTGCCTTAGGGGCAAATATCCCACATGGTCCAAAATATAAATACTGACTTACTTCAGTGTGAGCTTGACGTTGCAGGTGGAGCAGGAGAAGCAATTCACACACCAGGCCTTGTTAAGAGCTGATACCACTGCAAAAGTAAAAGCACCAAGTAAGAGGAAACTGACGGACTATTTGAATTCAGATTTATACCCAAATTCAAATGAGGCCAGATGTGAAAACAAACACTGTTGTCTTGCAACTGTGGGACTGCAACAGCTGCACTAAAAAAAGAAGCAAGGACAGCAACCCAAAAGAAGGAGAGAACAAATCTTACCATCTCCCTCTATCACGTGGCTGCAGTTGTAGCAGACATCTCCAAAGAGCTGCACAGAAAAAGAAGTAAGAATAGGAACTCATGTTGCTGACTACTCATGGTCCCCAAATTACACAGCTGGTGTTAACATTAAATACTAATAATCAAAGAATTCCCAGATACAGCAGTGGCCCTCAGATATACCAATTTAAATCTTCTGAATAACTTCTCATACACTTGCCAAATAGTCTATGTTCCTTTGGATCTCACATCAGTAAATGCTACAAAACCTTTTTTGTTGATGCCTCACACTCTAGTACTGTTATGGGATCTTAAAGTCCTCTATATGTGGCAATTGGAGAAGAAAGGATGGGTAGAGTATGATCCTTAGTGTAGACAAACATCTCCTGATGCTCAAGTACAAACACCAAAACAGAACTACTGCTAAAATACAGCTACTATCAGAACAGTGACTCTTACCTCTTATGAGAGACCGTCATTTATCTGACAGAAGAAAATATCAAACCAAAAAAGTTGTTCACTCAAATCACACAAAAAAAACTGGGGTTTGGCTGACTTTTCTATGTTTTTTTTTTTTATTGATCTACTTTTCTATGCTTTAGACAACGCAACAGTTGCCTCAGGCCCACAGAAACAAGTAATTATCAAAGAAGCCCACACAAATACATTAGAAGTAAAATTACAAGGATATTAATCTCAACCCATAGTCAGTCAATGGGACAAATTAAAATCAGTGTCCCCAAGACATTTCTACTCTGTTTCCAGCATCGCTTTTCTGCCAAGAAAAACTATTATTTTTCTGTTAAATCTGACTAATTTCTTACTATTTCATAGCATCTACAAATTCAGATTATGCAAAATCTGCATAGCTTTGCATATATAAAACATGAAAGAACATTTGCCAGATACAAGTACCAACAGCACAGACGGCTGAATTTACCTGATTATAATGAGTCTCACAATAGGCCAGCCCTTTTTTTTCATAGTGTCGGTGCCCCAAGAATGGCTTTTCACATTTGGCACAAACAAAATGCTGCAAAAGAAAAAAAAAAAACAACAACCCATGGCAGGCAAAACAACTTTCACGTTACCAGGGAAAAACCTGTTCAATACATGACACTTGATCACAGAACAGTTTGGGTTGGAAGGGATGTTAAGGCTCATTCCATTCCAACCTGGCCTTGGACAGTTCCAGGGATGGGGCAGCCACAGCTTCTCTAGGCACCCTGTGCCAGGGCCTCAGTACCCTTACAGGGAAGAATTTCTTCCCAATATCTAATCCAAATCTACATCTTTCCATTTAAAGTTGTTACCTCTTAATGTTTTAATAAAGCACAGACAGGAAAGATCTTCATGGAAGAAAATGAAAATAAAATAAAGTAAAAAAAGGAGATATTTAGTAATTAGTCTATTTATAGTAATTAAGAGCTGTATTAAAGATAGGTGGAAGACCTGCTGGAAGGGCAATCATCTTGTGTCTATCCTGATAGACTTGTGGATTATTATCTTGATTGTTTCAGGGATGAGAAGCAGGAACATAAAAAAAGTTGGTATGAATACACCTCAAATGAGCAGCAGCATCTCTCTCAGGTCAAGTCCTAGGAGGCATAAATAACTGAAATAAAGATCACTAACAATCTTCAGAGCAAGTTGTGATGACCCAGCTGAAAGTTATAGAAACAATGAGCTGAAAAGGCTTAAAAAGCAAGAATTGCTCAGTTTTCAGTGAAAATTCCAGCACTGTTATGTGCCTGGTAACTCGAATTGGAGAGGATATATCTAAGTACATCATACAAAATATGTAAATTTATTAGTAAGTAAATGCTTCTCAGTGAACCCCATTCTGCAAGGATCTTTAAAAATATTAAGGTTATTACAGTTGTGAAAACAGCTTTCTTAGGAACCCTGGTGGCCCTGCTGTAACTCATTCACTCACAAAAGGTGAAGACAATCTGAAACATAAGCAATTGGGTTTTGTCTGAATTCATACACTACAGACCACTTGCATATCTACAGCTTCCAAACAGCACTAGTCCTCTTCCAAACCAGCTCTTGAAGGAAGCTGCAGATTCAGAGGGTCTCACCTCAACATGCCATTGCTTCCCCAGAGCGTTGACCACTCGGCCCTCGATGGGCCTGCGGCAGGCTCCGCAGATGGGGATCCCCATCTTGTCGTGGCACGGCAGGCAGTACAGCTCCCCCTTCAGCTCCCGCGCCTCGGCAGTCAGCTCCTTCCTGGCAACACAAACACGGCCCTGAACAAACAACACTGAGGGAAACTCGGCAATGCCCAGCAGGAAGTGTTGGAAGACTAAAAGTGAAAGTCAACTTAGGCAACATTCACACTACAAATGCAGTCATTAAGTTTAGCTAGTGAAATACAGTTATTGTCAACCCACCTTTCTAAAACTGCCTTCTCAGTTTGCCAGACAAGAACATATGTGGAACATCATGTCTGCAGCTGGATACTCTCACAGACATACGAGGCGCACTTACATGGAGTGTCATGCCAAGACTCAAGGTATGTTTGAATGGGAGAGCTCGGGTGCAAGCACCATCCTAGCTCAGCACTGAGACATTTACTTGCACTGTTACCCATTCTGGGACAGTACTGTGCCCAGTTAAAATGCATTCATGGTAAGCAATTCAGAGTGGCAATGGACAGTGCCACAAGACTGACACAGCTCACAAGGCATCTTTTTTTTTCTATCCAGGAATTTAAAGTAAAACTATTTTGGACAGCATGGTAACTCCTATCTTTGGAAAACTCTACTATATTTTCATCATAAACTAGCATTATCTAATGTTAGAATGAAAGAATATTGAATGGCAAAACAAAATTAAAATTCCTGTAGTTTTTCCAAACTTATTTCAGTTTCTCCTCACACAATTTCTATTTGCTCAAAACTGTGAAGGCAGCAAAGGTTAGACCTTGGGAAGACGGACTGCACTGATGACTCAATGTCTCTCTCCTTTTTTGTCAGAGTTTACAGTATGACAACATACCCACAGTGGGTGCAGTTGAAGTGATCTGGATGGTAGGAATCATTCCTAAACATCAGAGGCTGCTCATCAATTATCAAGTGGCACTTCTGACAGATGTACTTGCCCAGACCCTTTGCTTTTTCACGGTTGTGGCATGGCCTGCACAGGTGCCTGGTTGAAAAAAGTAAAGGAAAGAAAATATTAAAAAACTCTTTCTCCTAAAACAACATATACTACATGCTGTAGGACGTATTTTATGTAACAGAACTGTCTTCTGAGGTCAGACTAAACATAATTCAGTTTGGTAATAATTCACACCAGTGGCTCAGAGAAGAATATGAATATAAAGCAGTCACACGGTTATATTTCCTTAGAATACTACTCCAACCATTCACTGATTCATATGCCATCAGGGGTATCACCCAGGCATTCTTTTAGGGATCCTTTCCAACCCTCTAAATCTTTTCTGATAGCTGGGCAAGGAAAGGTGGCAACACCTCTATCTGTAACTAATGGACAACTGTAACAGAGGCATTACAGCACTGGGAGTCAAGAAGAGAGAATACAGTGTATTAAACCAAAAGGCATTGCTTGAATGCCTTTTACCATGGATGGATTCTTTAGTCTTCAGTATCTACGGCAAAAAAAGATCTTTTCTTGCCTACAAACTCCTTTCACTAAAGTTCCTAAGTTAAAAAAATTAAGAACAATGCAATTTTATGTGGTAAAAGCAGCTGTGTTCCTAGCAAGTGCTCTTGAACACATTACAAGTACACTTCTAAACAGGTAGATAACCCAAATTTCTGGTAGAAAAGCTCAGGCAAAGGCATAAAAACACTTGTGAAGGCTGATGGAAGCCACCAATTTTATCCCAATATTCAGGAGCTCTGAGGAGAAGCTGTTCAGTTTACTTGCCTGTTACTTATCCCTCTAGCTGCAACGCTGTGGGCTGGGAATAATTTATGATAAAAGAAAAATTTCAGAGAATGACTTCTGTGGGTTGCTTTGTCTCAAAATCAACAAGTCTGCTTAATTCCTTTCACTGTATCACTATGCCAAAAACTCACTGAGATTGACAGGTCATTCTCAAAACACATCAGACAAAAGAAAAAGTTCAAACGGAAAGGGCGGATATATGGGTTAAATAGCGGGTTCTTCACAGGGCCCCTTCCAAAATTCCGCCCTGATGAATTACTTACCCTTAGATCTGTGAAATGGGGATAAGAATACAACACATGTTGTTGTGAGGCCTCAAACATTTATGACTCTCAGCTGGCAGGTGCCTGTCTAAGTGCTAAGTATCATTCTTATTCTCTCCAAATCTAAGCCCTTCTGTCAGCAAGTGTCTCTGTCCAGGGCTAGGGGTACTGTCCGCCCAGACGGAGTCCAGAAAAAGCAGACAGCACCCCATTATAAGGAAACATGCAGCTGTGCTCATCTCAGCATAAAGGCATCAATTTTATTCAGCACTGTCAAATGCAGAGTAATTATACAGGGCTGGACATGGGACCCTGAAGCAAGAGTCCTTAAAGAGACCCCTCTCATTCAGCTGAATGAGATGCCTTCAGCCATTTGCACTGATAAACCATTATCAACCCCCTTTCCACTCACAAACCCTCTGCCCTCCCACAGACCCTCTCTATTGGAAGCTGAGGGAAGTGTTGGACAGGCTAAGCTGTTACCATAGCAGCCTCCCCTCTCCCTCACCCCACCATTATGGAATTATCCCATTCTGAAATGTCCTGTTGTGCCTGTTAATACTAGATTTCCCCTAAACAATGCATCTCTCCACCCTCCTAAAATAATCAGAGGGCTCCAAGAATTCTGTGTTTAGGGCTGGGGGTTCAGTAGCAGCCTTCAGTAATGACCACGAACACTGGAATATTCATGCAGGATACTCATATCTATACCAGCAGCAGCAGCCCCAGTGCCAAGAGCTCAGCTGGGATGAAGACTGCTCCTCAGTGCTGGGGTGTCCTGTCCCCTGCTCTGTTGTGTGACTGAGCTGATAATGTGCTATCAGAGTGAGGAGGACACTATATAGAGGGGCTCCCCTCTCTGCTCTCAGCAACTCTGCAACTGTGCATTCTCTTGGAATCATCTTGTTTGCTCTGCTCTGCTTCACCTAGTTTGCTGGTACCAGAAGGAGTTTGTTGGGATATTCCCCAAAAGGACCCTATACTCCACCCACAGGACTGCATTATAAAGAGGTAAGAGACCAACTTTTGTTAGTAGGGGCTTTAGGAGCTTTTTTTTTTTTTTAGGAACTTTCCTAATGGCATTAGTTTTTGCTGATGCCAATGAGGAGCAGAGCACATACCAAGGTGGATGAATATAATGGAAATGTCTGAATGTAAGAACAGGCAGCATTTTCTGAACTTCAAAGAATAATTTTCTCACCTTTCTCTATATCACTCCTTCAAAACAAAAAAGGTTTTCAAACTTTTGTACCTAATGTATAGCCATTTGTGCCATTTGTATGGTATGTCTAGTGCTCTCTGACACTGCTTTGATGCTCACAAAAAACAAGTATTTCAGCTAAAATACAGGCTCAGCAGAGACTGATTTTCAGGAGAATAACTTCAGTCAGAAACTATTTCTAATTAAGAGTACTTTGAGTGAAAAGATAGGAGACACTCATTTGACAAGACACTGAACTCACAAAAATGCACAAATCAGTATAATCATACCAGAAACTGTTCTAGCTGAGAGCAAGAACAGGAATTTCTGATAGGATTTCTGATAGTTTATCTGCAGTGGGCTCCAAACTAGCCAGGTAACAGTGTACAATGAGCTAAGGATTTCCCCTGCTAGTTCTTTCATTAATGACAGACAGAGCATCTGCTGAGAGACTGTGTTATGTCCACACTGACAGCCTTGTGGATTGTTCTCTTGCTTGTTTCTGAGCAGAAGGGAACCAGGGCATGAAATATGGTCAGTGTGCATGCATGTATTTCAAATGAGCAGTGACATCCCCATTACAACTCAGCCCTTGGAGCCTGGGATAATGGCTCATCCCAGAACAGTGCTCTGTTTAGCAATACATAAATTACTAAATAATCATGCAATGTCAAGAGTGCAGTCCAAGCAGAAATTATTGGATAATGAGCCAGACTCCTAAAGGAGTTTTCTGTCTGTGGAATGAAAGCCTCTTGCATCAGATAGCTTAACACACTACACATTCAAAGTAATTTGTGAAGGTTTCTAGTTTGCTCTTAGCATTTATACAGACTATAGGAATCCCAGCGCTTTGTCTGTAAGCAATAAAAAACTAAGCACATGTATTTTAAATTTATAGGATAAACCCAAGGAGAATAGGACTGGAATTGCAAATAACTGCAAAAGGCTTTCAGCACCTTCTAGAGAACACACTGTCGGAGAATTATTACTTTTCTAAAGCTGTAACATTTTGTTGAAAATATGTGAAGTCTAAAAATAAGCTAATCAATTAACTCGAATGATGTGTTGGCTTTTTACTGAAATTACTCAAGTGCTACACCACTATTTTCACCCAATAACTAGAATTATGAAAAAATCCCCGAAACATTAATGTTGAAATTTAAGTTTCCTTTTAACTTAAAACATAAGCAAAATTAGAAAGAGGAGCATTTCCCTTTTCTGTAACTTCTAACCAGACAATGAAAAACATCTCCCTTCACCTTACTCAAAAAAGTAAATTAGATAACAGCAGCTCTCCTATGAAGGCTGTCATTTGCAAAGACTGAATCTATTTCAATTTTATCATTAGCTCTAAGCCTCTCTCTTCCTGACACACTGGGCTTCCAGATAGCTCTGACATTCTCCTTTCTACTCCAACCCACAGCATTTTGCACTGAAAGCACATCTGTATAGAAATCCATAGCAGACTCAATGCTGTCATCAGTGAGGATAAAAGTCTCAACTTTGAAGTCTTGCCAATTCTAAGTCTGGTACTGACAGCTGAATCTGAATTTCCAAGACCTGCCTTAGGAGATCAAATCAAATAGAATTGGTTCAGTGTATCACGCTGTTAAGCCCCTAATAATTAGCTTGTAAACAGGGAAAAGTCTGCTTACTCCTTCACTTTGGGAACTGATTCAAAGCATTATCAATAAGACAAGAGCCATCCCAGTCCGTTCCATCCGACAACTATGCTTTCTGCTTTTTCAGCTGCTCCAAGCCAGTGTTTACTGCTTGCTCAGGTGTCACAACCATGGATAGAGCAATGTTTAGCCAAAAGACCACCTACCCCTGACAGGTGTCACCTGATTTACACTTTTTTCAGATGAAAAGCATAATTAAACAATGGGCCTGACACAAAAAAAAAAAAGGCTTAACAGCTAGAACATGAGGTGATAAGTAGCATCACAAATTAACAGCCAATAGAAAGGCATGGTCTCATGTGTTTCTTTTTTGGTATGCAACAGAAAAATACATATTTAAACTAATTCCATCCAAGGAGGACAAGTACATGAGTGAATGTTACTATCCCATATAAAGTTTAAACTTTTGGGTTCAAGAATACTTGCAGGCTTTACTTTGTAAGGGACAAATGAATAATATAAACAAAAGATTGTGGCCTTTTCTGTAAACTTGTGACTTTCACACAAAAAAAATATGCAGCAGGGAATTTTCCTTTTGTGTGTGACAGCACAATTTCACAAGCTTTTTTATATGTAAGGACAAAAGGTGTGTACAGTCTTTCTTGCACATGCAATTGTAAGTAATGGTAAGATAGCAACTTGTTATAAACACTCAAATCCAAAAGGGTATCCAGGCAATGTATGAAGTAAGAAGGGCCCTCTGTGGCCATAGGAAGAACTTCCAATTTCTGAATTTCACCCAGTCCCTCTGCTGTTGATTTTCTCTCTTCAACTGTGAACCAAACAGAAGTGATCCAGCACACAAATCTCCAGGTATTCCAGTTTTCTGTTCACCTCAAAGTAACAGCAGCCAAACTGAATATATTAACTACCTTGGAACTGTTCTTACATTTTCCAGTATATTTGTTTGTACTTAATCCCATTTCAGTTCTCTCTGATCCAAATACTTTTACACATCTGAACAAAGAGTTCTGTTGTCTAAAATAATGCTCAAATGTTTTCAGGAACCCTGTGGATTTTTTCAGTAACAGCAATATTTGACCTGTCTTTTATCTCTTTTAAGAACAAGACAGATATTCTAAGCTAGATCACCCTCCAACAGACACCTGTGGTCAGAAGAGCTGACTCATCAGGAATTCCTTGGTCCTGAATCAGGCTTTCAAACTGAAACATGGCAAACACTTTCTAGTTAGATACACAGAACTCACTCCTACTCCTCTTAACCAGACACACAAGCATCTCAGTACCTGGTTATACAACTGACCTCAGCACAGGCTGGAGACAAGCTCATCACCAGCTAGCCAGCCCTTCACTGGGGTTCCTTCCACAGGAATTACTGCTCCGGTAAACTCAGCTGAGCAGAGGCTATTCAGAAGTCTAATATAAGGTTTAAATTCAGACTGACCTGTCATACTAAACACTGATGCTAGCAAACAGGAGATATTGCTGACTTTTATGTGTGAGTTTTTGGGTCTTTTGTTGCTTTTTTGTTTTGTTTTGTTTTCCATAAACCCAGGCTCTTTTGTAATAATACTGTCTTAATTCTTTTACACTTAGGGCTTTTTTTCTTCAGAACTGTGGGGAAAAATGAATGGACCAGCAGATTCAAGCCTGCTCTTCAATTGCTCAAATCAATCAAATTTCGCTTTGGAAACATCAGAGCAATGTGGCAAAGAGACACACCTTGAGAACATGATTTTTGCCACTTTCTACTTTTTGGACTTCATCCTAGCTTTTGCTGGCAATGCCCTGGCACTTTGGCTTTTCATCCGGGACCAAAAGTCAGGCACACCTGCCAACATTTTCCTGATGCATCTTGCTGTGGCTGACCTGTCCTTTGTGCTGATACTTCCCACCCGGCTGGTGTACCATTTTTCTGGTAACCATTGGCCATTTGGTGAGATCCCATGCAGACTCACCGGCTTCCTTTTCTACCTCAACATGTATGCCAGTATCTATTTCCTGATGTGCATCAGCGTAGACCGTTTCCTGGCCATTGTGCACCCCGTGAAGTCCATCAAGCTCCGCAGGTCGCGGTACGCCCACGTGGCGTGTGTCTTTCTGTGGGTCATCGTTGGTGTGGCAATGGCACCTCTGCTGCTCAGTGTGCAGACTGTGCACATGAAAAACACAACTGTCTGCCTGCAGCTCTACAGAGAAAAGGCCTCACGTCACGCCCTCGTGTCCTTAGCAGTGGCATTCACCTTCCCCTTTGTTACTACTGTGACTTGCTACTTACTCATCATCCAGAGCCTGAAGAGTGGGAACAGAGTTGAGAAACACCTGAAGGAAAAAGCTGTCAAAATGATCATCATGGTCGTGATGATCTTTCTAATTTGCTTTGTACCTTATCATGTCAATCGCTACATTTATATTCTCCACTACAACGGGACCAAAGCCTCCTGTGAAACACAGCGTCTCCTGGCCCTCAGCAACCGCATCACTTCCTGCCTCACCAGCCTCAACGGGGCGTTTGACCCCATCATGTATTTTTTTGTAGCTGAGAAATTCCGTGAGGCTTTGTGCAATCTGTTTTGTATTAAAAAAAACATAATGTTGCCTCAAACGTATGAGGGCAAGACAAATGAAAGCTCACTAAGTGCTAAATCTGAACTGTGAACATGACTCTTGTCAGTGTCAGTGGCTCATCTTAAGAGCACCCTCTTCCACCAAAATCAGCTGAGAGCACAAATATGCAGCAAGATAGTCCACCCAGTCAAATTCACCCTGAGAAGGGAAGTTTTGTTGTTTTTATGGGGCCGCCATTAACAAGAATCCCTCTGACCATAGAGAACACCTGTTTGTATTGCTAAAACTGCAAACTGAAGGACAGTTCTACTGATTTCCAAGAAATTAAACTGAGCGTTGAGCACTTAGGAACAAAGAAGGGGACAATGAGGGAAATGGACCCACAAATTATTTTTTTTCAAAGGACTTAATTCCCAAAGCACTCAGTGCTTCCTCTGCACAATGCATACAGCCTAATTTAAAATTTCACATTGTGCCAGCAGTAGAGATCCGCTCCTGAGACAGACCTGCCTGATGGAATTTGTCCACATTTGCACATCTTGTTCAAGTCTCTGAATTCAAAGTGTTTATAAGTAATGGAAAAAAAAATGGTACTAAATGATGACAAGAAAAAAAAAAAGGCCAGAATGAAGCAATGAACCCAGCCTGGACAGGAATTAAGACAGAAAAAGATTCTTAGCTTTAAGATGGTTTACAGTTCTTTTTTGTGACTTATCTGGCAAGACTATTCCTTCACTATGCATAAAGTAGGGATTCTCTTTATTCTAACTGATACAAATTGCATCTAGCAGAATATGCCTGGAAGTGACAGGCAGACTAGGGTAGACCAGGTACAATTGAAAAGGGAAAAAAAGAATGCAAGAGTTTACAATAATATTTACTAGAAGACTGCTTCAATGCTACGGAGATAAATATTATAGAAAATCATGTAGCAGGTAAAATACATTATTACATAGATACACACACCTATCTCTCTGCTATGCTTTTGGGAATGAGTTCCTTACCATTTTAGACTTGGTCCACAAATTACAAAATCAAACATACTTTATCTTGCTTGAGCTTTTTTTATCCTGACTGCTTCCCCAAAACACCCTAAGTGCTATTCCAACAGCCCATTCTAGCAAGGTGAGGTGCCAAAAGAAAATCAATTATGCGCAGCTCAAAAAACTCAGGCACAGAAGCTGCATGAAATATGAAGAAGATGAGGGAGTTGAGAGGACTCCCTACTGGACAGTATATGACCTTTTCTTCCTTCCTTCACCATTAGTTAGTGAAAATATAAACTCTAGGAATCTACTAGGCTTTGCTCATAATGTATGAAAGCCTAAAATTAACTCTGAATTGGCAACACTGTCTGCTAACTGCTGGATTGTCTTATTTTCTTATAATGGTATGCTTTTGTATAAGCTCTTTTTTGTATTTTTGTTATTTCTGAATTAAATGCATTAATCAAGCTCTAGGATTCATTTTTATATTTCTTCACTTAAAATGAATGATTTCTGAATACCAGTGGAATCACAGGCTGAAAATACATAGCTGTAATCATTGTGTTATTCTTTTGGCCTTTTGCTACATTTTGATTTCCCACTCAGCTGCTTACTTGATAATCAACCTGCCTGAGATTACATAATCTCTTTTTCTCACTTATTATGTGAAATCCCTGAAATCTTTATCTTCTGCTTGAAATCCCTTTCTTTTACAAAACCCATTCACTAGCCACTAAAACTTCAGTTTCTACATGTTTTGTTGGATAAAAAATTTCCCACCTAACAGGTTACTCCTAAAATTCTTCTGTACCTTATCAAGCTTTCCTTCTCAGTGTAAAACTAACTGACCACCCTCAGCATCTCACAGCTGTATCAATAACACACTGATAAAACTTTCTGATCTCCTGCTCCATCTTACCTGCCAGCATTCTTCACAAAACCCAGGTCAGCCAGGGTTACATCACAGAGCTCACAGCGGAAACATTCTGGGTGCCAGTTGTTGTTCATTGCCTTAATAACACGCCCAGTAATGAACTCACCTGCAAAAGGAAAGCATGAGATGCATGCAAAAAACAGTCTTACCAAAATCTACTATCCTTCATAGTCCTCCCACTTTAATTCCATAATTACTATTACAGTCTAACTATGAAAAAAAAACAATTATTCCCACAACCAGAATAACCTAAAATCACTGCTGGTATCATGCTTTGTTCCCACCCAGAGCTCCTGGCTCTTTAAAGTGACCCAAACAACCCCAGCCCAAGGCTGGACATCACAGCAACGCTGCAAGGTTTGCACAGCCCTGCAGTTGTTAAACCCTGGTGTTGATATTTGCCACTTCTTACCACATTCCCCGCAGCAAGGAGCAAACAGCATCTGGAAGTCATGCTCACAGTACTTCCTACCTTCAAACTGCAAACAAAACAAGAGAGAAGGACCCTCATGAATAACTGAACTACTTTTACATCTTGACAGTTCAGCATGATTTTCCATTGGTATGACTATTTAGTCCAGGTCAGTCAAGTTTTCCAGTTCTAGTCCCCTACATACCTCTTTTTCAACTCCTAAAGGTTCTCTTAAAGAAACATCCATATATGGCTGCAGCCTCATGGTGAATTTGCACAGCTGAATTAATAACAATGCTACTACAAGACAGTAAAAATCCTGAAGAATATCCCAATCCCTTTCCTCTAGTTGCCTTTAATTTAATTTTTGCTTTAGTTTACCTCAGAACTACTACTCCTCCTACACGAGGCTAAAACTCCCATCAAAATAAAATACAGGAAGTTTAAAATAATGTATTATTCAAAATATGTACTTGTGTATATTCTGAAAAAATAATTCAACCTAGCTTTTAAGTAGGTTCACATATTCCAGTTGCCCAACTGGAACAGTTTGGTACAATATGTCTAAAAATAAAAATTCACTTATGTCTAATGAAATATTAGGGCCAGGTTGGACAGTGCTTTGCGCAACCTCGTCCAGTGGAAAGTGGCCCTGCCCACGGCAGGGCTTGGAATGTGATGATTTGTAAGGTCCCTTCCAACCCAAACCATTTTGTGATTCTCTGATGATTACCAAAACACTTATTTTCTTTTTGAAATGAGTCTTACCCAAAGAACACCTTTTGAAGGAACATGTGAGAACAAAAAGAGTAAAATTAAGTTGGAGGTTCCTGAAAAAAAATGGCAAGAAATGTTTAGGGCTAAGAAATTAAATACACAAGAAAGTTGAGAATTCCTTGCATTTTACTACAGCTATTTCTCTTCTCTTCCAACCAGTCAGGGAACTCACCTCATAAAAGAGTCCCTCTGGGAACTGCCGAAAGCACTGAGCACAGACAAAGCAGTTCTCGTGATAGAGCTCCCCATTGCTGTTCACAATCCTCTCTGCTGGATCGAACCGCGTCTGGCAACGCTCACACACGGCATTTGCCAGAGCATCAGACATATTACTGGAATAAAGACAAGAGTAAGAACATTTATAAACACAACATTCCAGCTGCTTTAAACTCCCTTTTATAAAAAAAAAAAATTATAAAAAGAAATCTATGAGTGACTGACACCAGTCAGAAATAAAGTTCTGACAACTTGTATGAGGCAGATGAGGTCACGTAGCAGATGTACCCATTGCACACTTTTGGCTACGTCACCAATATTTCACCCCACTAAATCATCCTGCTAATAGCTCATGGCAAATAAGCACAATTTTGCACAAACCAAATTTCTCCAAACCAGCAGTTTGGAGAAAGCAAACCCAATGGTCCTGACTTCTTGGGCCTTCTGGTTTCAGGATGCGCACCTCAGGATGTGCATTTTCTGAGTTGTAATAAGCACTGATATCCCACTGCACTCTCCCCTTCACTGTCAGCAGTAACACAGCATTTCCCCCTCTACAGGCCCCGGCCCTTCTGAGAAATTAGTTAAAATTGTCAAAGTGCTACAAAGCTATGGACAAGGACAGGTCCCTCTGGCTGGCTTGGTCAATGCCTCAGCTTCATTTCCTCAGAACGCGAGGCTAAAATCCCCCACAGGCCACACTTAAAAATCACATAAGGAACATTTCCTCAATCTACCCTAAAATAAGGAATCACCCTAACCTCTTTCACAAAATTTTCATGCTTGCCATCATGCTAATCTAAGTTAATGCAGTTTTAAAATGTATATCACATGTGCAAACCAGGAGAGAAAAATTATCAGGTCCATCTCAGTTTCTTGTTGCAGTGTGATCTTTCTTTTAACCACCAGACTATACAATAGTATAAAATATCAATATTATTGCACTTTTAGATATAAAAAAACCTGGTTTATGCCTTCTGGACACCTTTTGAATTCTATGATTGGAAAGTTTGCAGTTTTATAGGTGAAGTATAAAAACTGCCACCATGTTAAGAAAGTCTCCAAACTATCTGTACCGTACTTTTCCTGAAGTAGGAAATGTATGCACAAAATGAAAGAGAGCTTACTTCACAAGGCTACTTTCTTTCTTTTTAGATTCAAAGCTACTCTGATTTTCCACTGTTAGTATTACTCAACAACCCAAGATGCTACTTTCCCCACCTCTTCATGGAGAACAGTAATCCAAGAAGCTTTTCCAGGAGCAGAAGATTCTCCTTCCTCTGGTCAGAGACAATCCCCTCAAAACCAGGCCACTGTCTGTATTCCAGGGCTCTGTGCCCTGAGCACAACTGGAATGAGCAGGGAGCAGCTGCAGCCCCCTGAGGTAACACAACCAGCCCTGCAGTGCTGAGCTGAGCCGTGTCTCCCCTCTGCAGGCTGCACTAACACCCTACTCTGTGACCTAGAGAGACCCCTCACTAAAATCAGACTTTCCGTTCAACCGCTGCAATTCCAAGGGAGGCAAAAACCAAGAGAAACCACAAGAGTTTCAAGAATGGAGTAGTAATTTAGCAAAAATTTGCTACAACTTGTTTCCTACTTGCAGTACAAAGGATATGTAAAAAGACAGACATGGACTAGAATTATGGACAAGAGGAAATCCTGTTATTTCATAAACTACAGATCATAGATTAAAGAAATATTTTTATCCTGACACAGTACCAAGGGAATAGGTCAGCACAAAAACATCAGTGTTTGCAGCAAAGCCAACACCTAATCAGCTTGGTTTTCAGTCACCACTCTTCCAGCTACACCACACAAATCCGTACCAGGAATTGAAAATAAAACGTTCCCTTCAAATACTTTCACCCTGTTGAAAAATTCAGTTCCTAAATTCCAAGACTTGAACTAGCCAACAGTCAAGATTAATAAAGACTGATGTCACCATAGTGAAAAATCTCCTCTGGGGAAAAAACCAGGCTATCCAGCAAGAATTACATGCTAGACACTAACAGCAAATCACCATCTTGTGTTAGTTGTGTTGGAGTTTTTTCTTTATAAACATGAAATCAACATTTTAAAAAATCCTAATTTTCTTTATTTTTTCTTTCTGCAAAGGGACCCACCAGTGCCAATATCAACATGTAGGGTGAACTCTGCTAGACCAGAGCAGTCATCTCCACAACATTTCGCAGCAACTGAAGCCTGCAACCTGCACAGCCGTGCATCAAACTCAGCACAGCTGTGACACTTCACACCAGACACTCTGGGAAAGATTCCCACACAACCCCGTGGCTGTCTTGGCAAGAAAGATAATGACGACACAGGGTCTCCCCTGTGATGCTGCTGCTAAGATTTCCTCAAAGACATAAGAAAAATTATCATGGTACAGTCTGAGCTGCCCATGCAAATGAACTAATGAGTGTGACTCATTATGCAGATGAGAGAAACTATTAGTCCAGGAAAATATAAATGAACCAGTACAAAAAATTCAGTTCTCTACCTCAGCTAAAACTCAAATAAAACTTTTGGGAAGAGCCAGACTACCAGGAGTCAACTGAACTGCATCAGCTCCTGACCAATATATCTCCTGTAATGCAAACCAGCAGCTGTGGCTCTTTGACAATCCACAGCAAGAGTTTTGCATCCTTGCTCTTTCTCCGTTTATAACTCTGCATCCATTTTCATTTAAGACATTTTAGTGTTTTGCAGTCAAGCTACATTTTGCCACACTTCAGCATTCCCCTAAAGATATGAATTTGCATTTATTCAAAGGTTTTACTTTAAAATTTACCTTTTTAATTTCCCCCAAGTACATACTCCTACGTGCCCTCTTGTTTGTACAAAACCAAGCATTTTTTCATCTAGCTCAAGGTTAAAATTAACCAAAGCAGGAAGGAAGAGGGTCTGTGCTAATTCAAAGCAATTTTATGATTCAGTTTACTACACTGCTGCAAAAGCACTTCTGCTAGCAGCATGGGGAAAGGAAGGGTAGCACCACAAACATCCTTTTGATAGCAGTACCAAGAATAACCACAAAGGTCTGACTTGCTGTGCCACTCATTAGATAACACTTACACCTAAATCTTTCCCACAAAGGACAGTCCCCAATATAGAGTGCTGCTTCTGTTTGCTCACTGATTTTCTTCTATTCAGTAAAATAATGAATCTTCCTCTGTTTTAACAATAAGCTGGTGACACAAAGACAGGAAAGGCTGTTAAAACATGATGAGATCAGCATCCTGAAGTTCCCCTGTCCTGCACAAACCCAAAAACTACCAGCATTCAAACAATGCTTTTCCCAAACTTTCATGATTATGTGCTGTATCTTTAACAAATTATCTAATTATCAAAGAAAGCAAGACAATTCTTTGAGATACAAGAAGCCAGGGCATTATCTAAACCTCAGCAGAGAACAAAACCTATGTTGGGGAACCCTAAAGATGTATTTTCTGCTCATTCTGCTCAGTAGGAGCAAGTGTTTACAGAAAACATCACAATATAATTACATTTCTAGTATGTATGCACAGACAGATATGATAGTGAAACATCAAAACTGGAAGAGCTGTCACCACTTGTGTACGTCACAGATGTCAGCAGACAAGATAAAAATGAGATAAACTCCAGGAGAATGGCTGGTTCCCATTCCCACAGCACAGCTGAGAATTAGTGGCTTAAGGTCCTCATTGTTGACAAAGACACAAATGAAATCTGAGACAATACCAGACTTTATGACTGATTTTACAGATAATGACTAATACAAAGACAAAAGAAAGAGGAAGGGTGTCATTTCATGAACTAGTGCTGAAAAACAGCCCTCAACTACCCTTATAATTCCAAAATCTCTTTGCTGCAATTGACTTATCTGGACAACTTTCCCAAACTGAATTGACTTATTTAATGTTACTATTAAACTTGTCATGAAATATTGGGAAAAAGTAATCCCCATTTGTTTAATGCATGATTTGTTGTGCATTTGTTAAACTATGCTCATAGCTTAACATTTTCAGCACTTCTCCTTCTGCTTTGCACTGAATTTTCAGTTCATGCTGAGTATTTTTTTCACTAGCTAAATAAGAAATTAATAGTGACTCTCTCAATATATCTTCTTTGATCGTGTAGCCCCCAAACTCTCAGTGAAATAAATATTTTTCTTCCTTATTTAGAACACAGAGATAACCAAAACTAAGAAAAATTTATAAATGCAACTTATGGACACAATATGGAAAAAACCCATCTCTCCTTGGGCCTACCAGCAACAGCAATTTGCGATTAGTAAAACTCGAGGGGTTAAAAAAACCCCAAAAATTCACATATTGCAGCTGAAGCCAGAGTACAATGTCCATATGGCTGACCCGCAGGAAGCTGCAATCAGGCAGACCTTTGAGATCAGCAGCAGCAACAGCAAAATTCTCTTGGTATTCACACCAAAAACCTCCCTATGCCATGGATACTTGGGAGTCCCTCTCAACACCAAGACACACTTATTTCCAGTAAATCATGACCAATTACTTAAAAAGACATACAGTCAGCAGTGCTCACTCAGCCCAGGCAAACATCAACAACATAAAGAAATGTACAGGTTTTAAATAAATTATTCCTCTTACACAGGAAAAACACTCTTAATATCAAGATGTATAGCTTCATCCAGAATGTCTATTTGATAAAAAACTCCTTACACACATTAAATCTTTCTCTACTTCCATTATATCAAAGGAGCTTAAATGTGATGTTTGTTTACCAGCACTGACAACACAAATCATTCCCTACATGTATTCATCAATTATCACCAACTTACAGCAGCACTTCTGTTGGATTACTCTCCTTTGCCTGAAGAAAAGACATAAACTATCAGGGCCTATTAGGAAGGAGAAGCAAAAATTACCACTAGCTCAAAACCCATAGATAAAATACAGTAATTCAGGGATTCAGAGATAATTCATAATTCAATAATTCAGAGATTTTAATCCTCAAAGGGATTAAAATTTTCAGCACTGTTACCTGCTCAATAAAACCAAAATATGCTGGCTCTATGCTTACTCTGCATCAAGAACTATGATGTGAAAAATGTACTCAATTTACCTGTACAGATGCTTTTTCAGTGCTTTTCTTTCCT